TACTTTTACCATTCTAAGTATGAAATTTTGCACAAAAGCTATATTTTGATTGAGCAAAGTGCTGATTTTTGATAGTATACGTTCAATAAATTGTCAAGAACTTTTCTGAAATGGAAACTTTCATGCGCTTAGTTCGCAAACAAAGCAAATTCTGAACGTGAAAAGAGCGAATTTTGATAATGAATCTGATTGCATTTAAAAAAGTGTCAAAAATTTGGCTAAAAGCAGGTCTTGCCCGTGCATGTATCGCACAGAAGCTTTTCTCAAGTGTGCAAAGAGCAGCATTTTCATGGTAATTTTTACCGATTTTCAAGCAAATTTGATAATTGTTTCTAGAAGCAAGTCTCCCATGTGAACGAATCGAATAGAAACTATACGCTTAGCGCTTTAAGCGTTTAATTTTGATGAACAGTTTCAGAAAGCTTTCTAAAAAATGAGTTTAAAGTGAGTGTGTCGCACAAAAACTGTAGTACTTCTTGAGAGTGCACTTTCAGTAAATTGCCAAAAATTTAAGTTGTGCTGTGCATTTATTTGGGGATTAATAGCAAACAGCAGACTTTTAGCGGGATATGCAAATTCAGAATTGCAGCCCAATATAATGTCTCACCTCACAACTACTATAAGAATTTAAGAATGGTAGAACGAGATTCATTTTTGTTTTGCAAAAGACAAGAAAACTCTGAGTCAGTCGTAGAAAATTGGATTTTTCTTCGTTTAGTTCGCAAAACTAAAAAGCTATTTTGCTAATGTTTGGGAGTCATTCTGTTGATTCAACAGTTTTAACTCAGAACATAAAAAAAAATGTCAACTCTTGAAAGTTGATGATCTGGCAGTGCATAAATTCTGAGTAAGAGTAAATTATGGCCAAATGGTCAATGTACTTATTGCTTGCTCTAATCGTATCCGATTCACCAGTTCATAATACTTACATTTGTTAAATTTGTCCATTTTCAAAAATTTGCGAGAGGTACTGTAGTGTAGTAAGAATAAAAGTTATCAGCCGCTGTGTTATGGTCGTAGAAATCCAAACTAGATGCATTTGTTTCCATTTGAGCCTTCAACTTGCGTTATGTTTCCTTACGCAGACACTTAGGATAACGTTTACTGGAAATCTTTTAAAAATCCACAATTGATCACCTGCTTCTGATGCAAAATTTTTGTTACCTGTTGACAAGCTGAAATTTTTGATGTTCAGGCCACTGTACACTTAGTTTTGAATCTCATTGCTTAGCTGTTTTGGAATCTGCTCTGGAAGTTTTTTACCTAAAATTGATGTTTTCAGTTTCAGCAATGCGCTCAGGTAGCAACTTAAATTTAAGGAATCAAGATCGATGACGTTTTGCTGAAGTTTTGTCTTGCGATTGATGAAATGTGATCAATGTGTATTTTAGAGAAATCTTCGATAAAGTAGCGTCCGAAAGGAATACGCAGGTTTTGTTTTGCTGGTGCACTGAGCGCGTCCCATGGTTACGTATCTTTTATAAGACACAGCATTTCTTTCAGATGCAATGACAAGTGAGAAAAATTTCTGAAACACGAGTAGAGAACTAATTGCATTGATTATCATACACATCGGCATAACTCAAATGGACGGTCTATTAAAACAAAATGCAGATCCATACTCCAGCTATAAAAATCATGTTGCCAAGGTAGCATATGCCGTTTCGGAACACCTTCGTTCTTTTGTGTATTGTATTTTTCCGTTTATCGAATTCTGGATTCCAGATCGGCGTCAGCAGATTATTAGGTAGGCACTTACACTTTAACTAAAATAAATGTTGATTTGATACTGATTTTTTATTGGCAACTAAGACATGAATGAGGTTTATCAAAACAGTTTAGAAAAAAAAAACTCAATGACCGAATGGCAGGAACAAATTATTGCTTCGTTTGTCCAGGCATATTTTGCAACGCCGATCCACTTTTACTTTGTAATTTTCTTGATGCCATCTAAAAAATGGAGATGCGTTTCTGTACTTTGTTGTAGATATTCTGTAATGAATGTTGGAGGTGGCAAGTTCTAACTTGTTATGAAATCAATATTGTTCAAATTATTATGCACTTTCGAAAAGGTGCAGCATTCCGTGCAACGTTGTTTGATTCTCTTCTGTCAATTTTCATGACATCCAGCATTTCTTCAGTTGCCGGAAATTTTTAAGGCACAGGCTGCTGACACTCTTTTAGCCTTTTGGTGATGGCGATGGCATACTTTCTTTCGAGTAGTGCTTTGCAAACAATGATTTCGTCTGCTGTTGAATCGTTATAATCTTGACTGCTTGTGCTAATTTTCTGATTGACTGCTGCAAATTCCATGACAGAATCTTTAATTTTTATAAAACAGCTGCAGTTATCTGACCTGATAAAGAATTATGATATCTGGGTAACAGATCGTGTACAAAACTTAGTGTTTACTACCATTTAAAGCATTAAAACAGCAACTTTTATAAGTAAAACATTTCTGCATGTAGCAATCTTACTGGTGTTCTGTTTATGCAATTTTGTCAGGACGTTGTGTTCAGTCTTTGCTATTTGTACAGTTTTGAAAATAGTGGCGAAGCCAAAAATATAGGATTGTCACCGATAGCCCTTTGAGCCAGTACACCGTGACAAAATGCGTAGCGGACACGATCTCGCACCCCAGCATTGAAAAATTTGGATGCTGGCAAAGTAGGTGAGGCTAGAAATACCAGTCGTTAACGCTCAAAACTTTCGGGACGGTTTTATGAAATGCGCAAGTCAATTTCATCGTCGTCTGAGGTCTATAAATCAGTATTGTTAAAAGTGACAATATCGTCATCCATTGCAGATTTCAATGCGGTTATGCCAGAAACAGGGTTGTACTTTGTTGTAAAACAGAATACTTGTAACCGATTTCCGCGAATATAAAGTTATACGTACGTATGTACACGTTACGGAAATCCCGGGGTATTTAAGCAAATGGGTAGATGAACGTGTACAAAATTGTGCGCATCGCTCATCTATGAGTGATTAATCGTGCCGACAGATTAGTCTGATAAAGAAGCAATATACTGTATGTGTATTTGATAACACTGGTACATAAAAATACTGAAAATAGAAGTTTTTCAACCGGATGTACACGTCAATAAGATCAGCTTGTCCAGTATTATTTGCCTGTATCATGTATGAATGGTCAATTATTGTCCAGTGTTAAAAGCATCCTGCTCAGTGGAAATAAGCATTTACGCAATTTACATGATATGTGTCCTCGTATGTGTACTTTGGTATCTTATATGTGCAAGTGCATATGAAAGCCGCACTGATGCTTCAGCGTTTTTGTACATTGCTGACCAATGGTATTTTATACCTAAGCTATAATACATGCAAAATACGAGTACGTCAGTATAGTAAGAGTATATTGTATGCTATCGGACCGGCGCTGCGTTTATTGCTTATGACTCAGTTCGCACTGCTAAGTACATAGTGGCCGCACTAGTGGTGCATCAGCCAACTATGTCTAGTTGTAAACGTTGCATAATGCTGACACTTGGTGTTACTGACACAGACCCTGGCTGCATGTGTGCTTCCGCCTGCGTTATAGAACGATGCTGCAGCACGTTATTATTGCCGGCTGTTTACTAACTACCAGAAGAAAAATACATCTTAGATAAAAATATATCTTAGAAATATACCGTAGATTTTATTATTATAATAAGCGTGTTCTAAAGAGGTTGATACATGACTTACTCGTAAACTTGTGCTGGTGTTGAAACCGGCTTGGATACGATTAGTAAAGGCAGCCGATGTCGGAAAACCATAAATTAAACGGATTATAAAAGTCGCACAGTATGTCACAAGTTATATTAATCGCGCACTTATACAGAATCACACACGTATTCCTGGTCAATTGATCACACGGGTAGTGAGTTTGAGCGGAATCTCCCGGTTGAAAAGATTTCACCACTGACTGCAATGTGTAATAAATGACTAAGTACGTACCTGATAGCCACAATGTGTTGTAATGCTTTGACCAGTGGTATTGCATGCGCGAACTATGTGTAAAAGACGGTGCATGCGTGTTTATTACTGTCTGTGATCAGCCAGTGTTGTGGTTTGATGTGATTAATCAAAACAGTCAATGTCCAAAAAAGTGCAGATTCACACTGTGTGTTACAAATTATATTATCAAAAGATTGTTTAGAAGCAGACAAATGAATGTGTATGATACTGCGTGTGTTTAATTACATACAAGTGGCCAGTTGACCACTATGATGTCGTTTGCCGGCAGCGGAATCTTCCAGTGTGATGATGCCACACGCTTGTATTGCATCAGCCGACTATGTTGTGTACCGACAGTGTCGGTGTGTGTGTGTGTGTGTGTGTTTACGTGGCTGACCGAAACATATCTTAGATAAAAATATATCTTAGAAATATACTGTAGATTTCATTATTATAATAAGTGTGTTCTAAAGAGGTTAATACATCACTTTCGGTGGCAATAAAACCCGCCGCGCTATACAGCTCAGGCAGCCAGCCGTTAGCTTGTTTAAATTTTAAACATGTGCAATTATTACACGCACAAGCAGCGTGTGTAAGTGTGTGTGTGTGTGCTAGCGCGGCAGGCGATTGACCAGTTTATTGTTTACACTGGTCACTTGTCAGTGTTTAGACTGGCCAGTGCCTGTGTGGTGTTGCTGGCTAGTGCCAGTGTTGCCGGCCAGTGTTGAACGGTGTCTTGTATCATTGGAGGGGGGTATTGGAGGGGTATGTGATATAACCGGCGGTACCAGCGGTGTTGCTGGCTAATGCCAGTGTTGCCGGCCAGCGTGGTTGTGTACAGAGGCAGTGTGGTGACTCAGCCGGTCAGCCGTTGTTTTGTGCAAACAGGTTGTTTCCACATGAGCCGGTGTGTGTGTATGTGTGTGTGTATGAGTCACTCAGTATGACAGATGGTGTGTACTGATAAGATTACGATATAATAATTATTAAATATTAATAATTTAACTTTCGCAGCGGGGGCTTGCCGTCATAAAATCGCACTGCAGGTCTTAGGTTTTTCTTCTAACAGGAGCACGTACTGTAGGCATAGGCTGATACGCACAAAACAAAGGCCGCGTTTATGTATTCAGCATCACGAATCTTTAGCACGAATAATAACATTGTAAGGCAAACTCCAACGCGGGAGGAACAAAGCAAAAGCGCCTTCAGACTATCTAACAATTAAAACTTCAAATACATACAGTAAATGTTAAACCATCACGCGAAGAATAAAGCACAAGGGCCAGTATCCATAAAGCAAGAATACATACAGCAGTTGGATACTTTATACAATTTTCCGTTAGTGCAAAAACTGACGATGGAATCATCGGAAGCGCAGCGAGTGCCTACAATACGTTGCAGGAAGTGACATTTACAAGAATAAAACCAGCATTACTACGAGGAGTCGTGCCAAGGATATATACGGGGGCGATTTATGGTTAGTTAGCGGTTAATTGCTCTGGGATGCTTTCACAAAATTCAGCACATGGTAGCAAGTATCTTGTGGATTGAGGGAATGAGGAGTGTACAATAACCAATGCTGTTTCCAATTGTTTATTCGTTTTCCTCCCAATTTCATGTATGTGTTCCGTGAAGCATCATTGTCAGCAGCCACCTGCACGTAGATGATCTTGCGGCCCCTTGCAAACATGGTTTTGGCCAGTGAATAATTCACAATCCGAAAAATCCTTTATTCCGATAGTCAGGATCGGTGTAACCCAATGCAAAATTTCCTTCCGCTTCATACAGAATGTACGACACCGCGCGGCCCGATGCAGTTTCCACAACAGCGGCGCTCGGGTAATTCTTCCGGTTGGGATCCAGAATATCTAGCAGATACTCTCTTGTCGCTGTACCTCCTCCGTAATACCATTCGCTGTTTATCTGGTCTGCATATTTTTGCGTCAATGTTGTTAAAACAAATCCAGAAGGAAGATCCTAAAGTACATGAAGAGTGAACATTTGACGAGTATTTTCACACAGTTAATGAGTACGGACGGTGAAATATTCGCCGGCCGGCAAGTGTTGAGCGAAGATACTTATACTATATAATTATATTCATATGCTCATTATTATTAAATATTAATAATGACAACCATTGTTTCATTGGGCTCTACTGGAAGCTGAAATCTTCTCGTCATTATTAGAGTAGTACGTCGAGTAGTGGTTTTACTCACGTCGAGCAAACAGGTAGGTTTTCACTTTTCAGCTCGTAGACATCCGTGCACCACGATTCGTCGCTACCAGTGGTGCTCCCGAGATTCTGGCAGACCACATTAACTGTTTCCAATGGAGAAGGACACGATAAGCCTGGAAAAATAAAAAACATCCCTAGCAAATAATTAATTATAAGTAGAATGCAAGAATATCTCGGGAGGCACCGCCACCAGTAACTGTTGTAGGCACCGCGACCGGCAAATTTCCTTTCGTACATATCTGAAAAAGGAATGAACTGGTGGGGGATGCGGATTTTTCGTTTTGTAAGTTTCCATATTCCCCCACCAGTACGATTCAGTACAGCTAATTTCAGTTATACGAATATCCGAAAAATGCCAGATATTAATAATGTACTTCTATAAAATAATAACGCATACAGCAGATACGGTAAAAAATGCTCAGCGTACCGGAAGCTTCTTTTTACGCATGTGCATACAGCATACTTCTACAGATGCGCATGGTTGTCCATGATTATTAATTAATGCTTTGATACTTAATCTGATTGAGTTATTAGTTCAATTTTTCTCCATTGTAATTAGTGCTAACCGTGAAACATTATCTCTTGGTCCCACTCAATTGTTTTATGGTGTTGCAGCATTTCACGGAGAATGTTGTCATCTGATGACCAAATCGTAATAGTATAAGGACAAACTTGTCTGCATGCGTATCCCTAAAATAGAAAGGCTGCAGGACGAAGTGCTTAAAACTGATCACAGTAGGGAATTAATCTCAAAATTTTTATTTAAAGATGTAATTTGGTTTACTCTGGGTGTAATTTGCACACCATGACCATACGCACCCGTCTGCCGCATCGGAGAACTTCCTGTAGCGGTCTGCACAACACAACGCGAGGTTGAGGCCACCGGTCTGCAACGAATTCAATACCGTTCCACGGCAAATCTTTGTTGAATTTTCCCCAGACGAGATTATATAACTAAAAAATAAAGCCTCATAGCAATCCTGCAGTTTTTCATTCCTTACTTAATTAAAACACCTGTATTTGTATTGTATTCGTCCAATAAAAAAACAGTACGATCTAGAACTATTACGGAAAAGCTTTTGTTAAGCAGATCGTATATGCTGCTACCATTACAATACCGATTACTCAAAATCAGTTATATCGACTATCGAGTACCCACTGGAAGCGTGTCGGGAAAGAAAATTTCCAAATGACGTAGTAAATCGGCGTACCACTCCGGCACAATTGTTATCGTCATTGCGAGGAATTTACAAATCCGAGGTCACAAATTTTGGTGGTCAGTTGCTGTTGGAATGATCGTGTTGCCGGTAAGTTAACTTCGTCGGAATTTTTGCTTTGGTGAGGTCTCAGCCGGTCTCGTCTTCTCATCAAGAGTAGTTATTTTTTGCAGTTATACAAGACGGATTTAAGGTCCGAGCCAGCGTTAACCATATAGTGCATGCATTTTGCACTATAGAGTAAATTTTTAGGAAGCAGAATAGGCCGAGAAACGGTTGTACACTAGCTACTGTAGAAAGACGACCAAGAGTTTTATTTTTCAAAAAAAGTTTTAATTAGGAATCTATGTGGCAGGCCAAAATTTTAGCTACAGGCGCAATCAACGCGGTTAGACACAATGCAAAATCTCGTAGTTCCAAATACAAACACATTACAGTACATAGTATGCAGACGCTACAGCAGAAACTTTTGCGTTCTGATTATAGGTAATCTCGTGGTCACTGAAGGAAGAGATCACACTGATAAAATTAACTACAGATTTCTATCAAGATTGTGTGGGCAGCCTTTACCATCATGGAACAAACATTAAAAATTTATGTACAGGTCTTATTGTTAATTGTGAATAGAAGACAAGTTAATTAGAAAATTATAACAGAAAAAAGGCAGTGCTATGCATAATAATATCAACACAGTTCTTTACGTATCTGTATATATTTTACAGAAATTCACATAATTAAATATGCCATATTATCTTATAGAATTATTTTATAACACATAACTCATTTTTTTTAATTAAAAACACGCGGCGTTCGGTATGCCCTTTGATTTCCGGTCAAACAACAAAGGACAATAAAATTCTAAACTATAACGATAAAGGTGGAGTTTGCTTTGGATGTTAATGTTGCTTGCCGCGCATTTCTCTAGCTGATTTTATTTGAAGTCCACACTTCTGATTAATCCTGTGCGATGGTGGAGTGCTCTATACAATTAGGTATGGTCGACCTGTGCTATAAAACATCCAACCCCAGAAAAATACAACAAACATCGTGTTGCTGTTAACTGTTAACATCCGACTTCCGCCGGCTTCATTGCCAGCAAATTAAATGCCTTTTACTCGTCCTAGTAAAGCATTAATAACTACACATATCCTTGAAGCAGCTGCGATATCTTAATATAAGGACGAAATTATTTTTTTATATAAGTTTTAAGTTCAATCAGAATTTGGAAAATGACGATATGTATGCAAGTAAAATCTGGCTTCGCGACAGCGAAAAGTTTTTCTAGTTACAAAGCAAATCCTTGCAGTGACGATGATAGCAACTATGGGGTGTGGCTTAATAACATTTGGGTATGGTAGCTGTTTTAAATTTCAGCCAATCGTACCAATGAACACGTCGAAACTCTTGTGGTTCCACCGCGTACGCACGAATTTCCTTGACTTTAACTTGTCTTTAAGACCAGCGTTTACGTAGCAGCTTATCATTGTGCAAAATTATCCAAGTTTCGCGGCATTTAAATATATTTATGTTCGTATTCTCCTTTTAAAAAATCAATTACGATTGCAAAGAGGCTTTAATATATCGAGATCTGTTGCATTGTTCGATTTGGAACAAGTGCTTTGGCCCTTGGGTAAAACGTGATTATTGTTTGAGTTAGTAGAAATTTGCATTTATAACATCGTGGTGGAGACTTCCGCTGCTACTCCGTTCTGCTTTATAATTGAGATTTTGCTCCCATAGGGTCTTGAACTCGTGGATTTGCTTTCCGTCCGGAAAAAATGGCGGTAAGTGTATATGAGTTTTCTAATACCCACTGGATTCTTCAGGAAAGCTTTCGTCTGATTTCCTGCATGTGCGGAAGAGTTGAACGTGTTTTTCGCTTTGTGAAACGCATATATTATTAATAGGTGAAACCAGCCAGTTCTACCACTGTTGGAGCCTCTCCGCGTGGAGGCACTCGTCCCGCAGGTGGCAAAGCAGGAGCCGGAGATGCAGGCAGAGCTAGGTAAATGGTTACACAGGCTTGTCCGCTTGAGGTTTAGAACAATTTCATAGTGTGATCTTATGTGTACTTGCTGATAGCGCTATGGTAAACCGTTATCCACGATAGGTACGTAATAGTTGATGTGGTTGTAGGAAGACGGGCGGCTCCGGAACAGCTGGAACACGTACAACGCGAACTGCAAATGCTGGTTCCAGTGGCATGTGGCGATTTTACTCTGATGATTCTCCCGGAGTGCGAGTGTAAGTTGTTTTTTCGCAATACGTCGCTGATATTGCCACCGAATGTAACAATTAGTACAACGTATACTTGATAAACTATCGTTCAGAATTTTTTAAATCTGCACGTCGTTTCTGTCACTTTCTGTGGTATCACCATAGGGCATAGAGGTGTTACTCACTGCTCTCTTTTTTTGCAGTGGACCCGTTCCAGTCTTAGTCATGAGCCTACTCTTCATCGCATCAGTTTTTGTTTTGCATATTTGGGGCAAATATTCCCGTGGATGAAAGGTTTTCTGTTGTGCAGGTTTTAACATTCGATTTTGTACACTCGAGTTAACCTATGCGTTTCATGGTTTTAACAGCGGGTTTTAACTGATTTGAATGATATTTTATTTGAGCTGATCCATAATTAGTACCACCATTTTGTGGTCTCTCATGTTTTTCGGTGTTATAGTTGTACAATAATATATGCGGACAAAATATTGCCGGCGTCTACAGCTTGATAAATCAGATATTTAAGCCGGATGGCATTTTCCTGAGTTGATTATCAATGGCCAGAAAAAAATACAAAATTTTGACGGAATATTAATTTCAGCAATGGAAAATGCCAATAGAGGTGTGTTAACCGCAGTTTTGACAATATTACGCAAGTCAGAATGTATTTAACCGCCGCTAAAATTCATAATTTTAAAATACAGCAGAACGCCATACTGGAAAACGTACGTAACTAACGAGCTCTACGTCAAACTGCGCAATATTTCTGAAACTAACAAAAACAGTAATATGAAAAAAATCATGCAGAAAGAGCCACACTAAAGAGAACAAGCGGTAGAAGCATTAAATCGTGTTAAAGCGACAATTAGAGGAAAGCTTACCAGCTGTCATCTGATTACCCGCAAGTCCTCTGACACGTATCACAATCCGCAGAATTTCATAGCCGAAACATAATAAAAAATTATAAGAAACAGTTTGTCCACCCTGGCTCAAGATCCTTCCTGCCCGTATTCGCTGGTGAATTCTTCAAGTTTCAGCAAATCATGGCTGGTCACGGCGGGTTTGGTTTGGGAAATGGAGCGCACCATGTCGTTCATTGTGATATGCGGCTCCAACAACTGATCTCCGGGAACATCCAGGAACGTCATTTCAACGGCGCCTCTTTCTCCCGGACTGCATGGTGCATACAAATCGACAATTTTATTCGGATCACCGGGCGAGGGTCCTTTAACTTTCTTAAAATGAGTAGCGGTTTGTACTTTACGCACGGGCTGCATAAGGGCATCCCGACACACAATGCTGATATCCGCTCCAGAATACCTATCGGTCATAGCGCCCAGCTGACGGAAGTCGCCTTCTGACAAGTCGCACTTGGTGTTACCCATGTTCAACTTGAAAATATCGGTACGGGCTCCCTCATCCGGCAGCGGAATGTAAATTCTCTTCTCGAAACGACGCCGAATAGCGGCATCCAATACCCATGGAATATTCGTGGCGCCCAAAACAAGGATACCTTCCGAATTGTTACCCACGCCCTGCATCTGCACGAGAAATTCGGTCTTGATACGGCGTGCTGATTCCGACTCATTGTCACTTCTCGAGCTGCAGAGTGAGTCAATCTCGTCAATAAAGATGATGGAAGGCTTCTTGGCCCTGGCCAGCTCGAACAAGCCCTTGACCAGCTTCTCTGACTCACCCAGCCATTTGCTGACCAGGTCAGCACTGGATACGGAAATGAAGGTGGATTTGTTGGCCTCGGAGGCGACAGCTTTGGCTAGGTAGGATTTACCCGTTCCCGGGGGGCCAAAGAGGAGAATACCTTTCCACGGGGTGCGTTTCCCAGTGAATAAATGGGGAAATTTAATGGGCAAAATGACGGCTTCCTTGAGGGATTCTTTGGCCAGTTCCAGGCCGGCCACATCGTCCCATTTAATATCCGGCTTCTCCACGAGCACTTTACCTTCCAGGCCTTTTGTCAGTTTCTTATATTCCGAATCCTCATCGTCATCCTCTTTGTCCTTATCATCCTTATTTGAGCCCGGATCTCCAGCGGGGACAGCCTTCTTTTTGTTGTCCTTTTTCAGATATTCCTTCAGCTTTTCAGCTCTCTCCAAGTATTCGGTACACTTTGCTCGAATTGATTCTTTGGCCTTGTCGCCATTTGTCTCGTACTTAATGGCGTGCAGAAAATACTCTACACCGTGCTGATACAGACGCAATGCTTCCGAGTAATTCTTTTTCTTGTCTTCTTCCGTTGCGCGAGTAACCAGATCGATGGCCTTCTGTATCGCTCCTCCTGCCGCCATTCTTTTTCTAATTCCTGCCATAACAAGTATACAGGTGCGCTGACGATTAACCGAAAAATTCAGCCACAAAATAAGATACCTTTCAGTTGTTTTTTTAATAAGCACAGTCCAAACTGTTATGGATATCACAAACCTAAAAGCAAAATCTTGAATAAAACGCTGTCACCTGACAATGGCAACATTACAGGTACTGAAGGCTCTTCTTCATGTCCACAAACTCGTCAAATGACGCACAAAGACTTTCCACAAACTATGTCAGTGTGACTTGAGAATAAAGAGGCAGTACAGTACCTTTCAATTCATGCAATTGTGAGATCAGTTCCGCAGCACAAAATGTCGACAGTCTCAGAATAAACGTGAGGTAGACAGACTTCACCACAAGTGGAGATCTACTGAGATTCTGCAATGAAACACAGAAAGAGTAAAACTATGGACTCGATTCTAGCATTTCTGTTATTACAATAAAGTTACTGCCAACTTACTAAGCCTGAAACTATAGACCAAAACACTAAAGTGACATTTCCTACGGAAATAGCTCCGTCAGGCCTGGATGGGAAAGGGAAATAATCGGGATAAACGGGAACTGGATACAAACCACATGGAATACTTCTATAATTATTAGGCTATTAGCCCAACCATTCTAGCGACAGCTATGCTGACTATGCAGTATGCCCGTATTAACTGGCATACCGTAAACCACACCCCTAGCTTGTGCCAATCACAGGGGTGTAACATTTTGGTTACAGATTTCCCCATAGACCGTGCAAGAAACAAGCCGTATACACTCTTATACAGAAAGTCTCACTTTCTGTTTTTATTATAGTGTATAGGTCCTGCAACAGTGTGCAGGCCTGACGGAAAAATGCCAAAAAGCAGATAGACCATGGTACAACATTATTTACGGAATCAAAAAATGGGAACACTCACTGTGACTCACAATTTTCTTTCGTGAATTCCTTGATAACTATAGAATCTTGTATCATTCACTCCCTAATACACAGTCCAAGATTGGGAAGATGGATTCCAAAATGTCTCCAAGGTATTCTTAAACTTCTCTCGGATTTTCGGCCCACACTGTTTTCTAAGTTAAAGAAATACACAATTTGAAAGGCAGTGCAAGCCAGTTTACTGCTGGGCTATGGGTTCTCACTGTAACTTGTGGGATAGTAGTCATACATATATTTTGTGAGTCATAATCCAACTACGTCATGCGTAATACCAGAAATGATAACGGCATGCTGACACTTTTGTGCATGATTATTATTTTGTCACTTATTAATTTTTCGTTGCGAACTTCCATGCGATGATGCGAACATACATAATTACATGATTTCGGCTTCCCTAAGTTTATTCATTACTTCTTCATCCAAATATTCCCAATCTCCAAGGGAGTGGCTTTCAGTAACTTACAAAATTACAAGTTTCAAACATTGAACCACTCGCGATCGCCCAGTGCATGTATTCGCATGCCCGATTTACGTATGTACCGTATGCCGTGCAGCTACCCGTACAGCTGCGGTATGCATGACATTTAATAGGATACGGTATGTTCTGTGGTTGTACATGTTCACTTCCGCAACGAATCCACACTTTTTTGTTATGGCCTATGGGCTATGCCAGATTGTCACAAAATGTATGGTTAGAACAATTACTGAGGTTCCACCAAGATATTTGTTGCGAACACCATGCAATGGTCATTGTCCACACTAGTTGTGCAGTTAACTTGTGTGTAATAATAAAGCCCTATGCAAATCACTAAATAAGTGCAAATTATGTAAGTGCAAATTTAACCAACACATGTTCCGCATTCGATTTCACTATATTCCATATTGATTCCGTACGCGTGGTACATCTCCCCCTTCCGGACGACTCTCATAAGAATTTGACACTGTTTTGGCCGGTTAAGCAGATCCGGTTCTATTGCTTCTGGCAGTAACAAGGTCATCCAGCTGCAGAAAAGTTTATGTGATGTGATGAAATAATTTCAATAAAAGTTCAGACATTCATTATTCTGCTGCTGTCACGCACCGCTTGACGGGGAAAAATTCTGGAACACAAATAGAAACTCCGGGCGAAGATGGAAAGAGCAACCAAGCTATCCCCTCCACAACCATCGTACGCCGCCGATCCCGTTAAGCAGGTACTGAGAGGCGGTGTCAGACGAGAGCTGCAAGGGTTACCCTATATTAGTTGGCAAGTCAACGTTTTTTTAATGAACTACAAATTTTTCTTTTCCAATGACGAATTTACCTGCATAATTCGTTTGCACCAAAAACAGAAAAGCTATTTGTCAATCTCAGTAGTTGGGCAGCATCGAATGCATAATCTAAACACGGTAACCGCTCTGTTGGAGGATAATCTCCCAGTGTAGTTTTATCAGGTTGGATTAAACATCCCCCAGCGGCATTCACTAAACCTGCAAGCGTTTTGAAAGTCTCAGCTGCAGGTCAAATTAAAAGAATTGAAAGCTGAAGTGCAACACAATAACAAATTGCAACACAATTTATTAATTATAACACTTAATCCGGCTGCATGCAGCGTGTATTATTAAAGTGTTATTATAAATTATTACTTGTGCATAATACAGTTTACGCGAAGAAAGCATGACATTGTGTTTGATTAGTCAAAAATGTTTAATATGGGTTGCATGCCAAAGATTTATTGATTTGTACACAATATATTATTGGAGTCTATTTATCATATTAATCACATCCCCGGCGTCGTCTTTTTAGTTATCTTAGTATATAAAAAATTACAATGTATACCGGTATATTGCCACCATTTTATTCTCGAATACTTTTGTCCTTTTACTTACTTTCCAAATAAACTGGAGCCGTCACAGTTAAATTGTATACATATAAAAGGGCCTGCACGGACATCCTGTAAGAGTATTCCAGAGCAGAATCACACTCGGCTGAATTGACTGCCGATCCTGATGGATCTTGACCGGACAGCGTGAAGAAGTCGTAGTAGGAATAGTCTTCCTTGGCGCGTGCGTAGTGGGAGCCGATTCCCAGCAGTAACGCGTTAAGCAGCTGGGCCATAGTACTAGAATTTGGAATGTGAGTAGATTAGATAAATAGAAAACATATGTAAATATAGAAATGTTTAGATTAGATGAATAGAAAACATATGTAAATATAGAAACAGGATTGAAATTTTGCTCAATAACATTTCTGTGTGAAATAGTGATTATTACGACCATCCAACATATTGCATGGGCTTTGAAGTAACTGTCAACCATAATAAGTAGTATACTTTTTTTGCTGATTTAGGTCTTTTGGCCATTGGGTTTTGTCGGCAACAATCTGCAAAATGGCATTGGGAATTCTGGTTAATGGCAGTTCAAAATTCCAGCGGGCCAGCTGACAAGCATCGACCGATACGGGAAACTGCGTCGTTTTCCCTGAAGTTGTTATAATGTGGCGCATAGGGATATACTTAAAGGAAGAATAGTTTGCCAGTAGATCGTTGAAAAATTTCGTTGATAATTCGGCATCGTTGTCTGCTGGAGAGACGTCGACGCGCGACATCGGTGACAAGTCGGAACTATGAGCACTTGGCGCCGGACGCGGACCGATTTTGCGTATGATGGGAAAAAGTTTGTCTAGTGTCTCCCGAACAGCTGTTGAATCGGTGTCGAAAACAGGAGCCGTTCCTTGATCAGCGAATCTCGTATCGGAAGGAAGGTAGTCAAAATTGGTATACATTCCATGCAAGCCTTTATTCATAGCCGCGGCAGAGTAATGGATAAGAATTAGGAAAATAAGGAAGCAAATATGAGCCATGGCTTGATGCAATGATCAAAGCTGACGGTGAATGTCGCCAACACGATCGTGTCGGTTATAAATGCGTATGCAACTAAACTTGAGATTTTGATTGTAGCAAATCTTGACTAATGCAAATATATTATTATTGCAATTAATTTTCACAAGGAATTTACAGGTAAGTGACTAGATGTATAAGAGGAGACTATGAGCGGCAGGCTACACAAACAACAAAAATATACTAAAAAATATCACGGAACAAAAGTATACTTGAGTAAGTGTAAATACTAAATAGTAATGGCTATCGAAGCCTTTGTGCGCTGTTGACAAGCGTTAAAATTAAAGAATCAATTGAACAGAATACAGATACAGTATGTCTCTACTAGTGGCAAAAAAATACAGGAATTCAGTGAATCAAATCACTTCGAAAGTAGCCATACGCCGTGTTACCTAAACCGAAAGTCTCGCTTTTCTGATGTTATTTTGCTTTGCCTGTTTTATGGCTACCCGTCGGCAGTTTCTTTCCTGCACAGAAATCTACTTTGCAGCATTATTCATTGAATATCACACTGTATGCCCTTAGGTTATCACTGGAACTAAGCATGCGCCATTAGAACACCCCGTGGTACTTAAATAGCTGTATATTTTTGTCTAATGCGAAAATTAATATATGCATATTCAACGGGTAGTACACTGTGTACAGCAGTATATAGGTAAATATTTCTTTAATATTATTAACTTATTGGTATTTACAATTGTTGGACAGCAGTTAATGACCTTTGGCTTACCTAGGCTTTAATGCGTGGATACGTACTGAATTTTTAAAAAGAACTGCTGCATTGTAGAATTAATGCCTGACTTACCTATTTGAAATTTCGCAATAATACTTGTCTGTAATTCCGAAAAACAGGGCAAGGGGTTCAGGAACACAGTGACAAAGGTGACTTTTGCGCGAGCCTGTACGAGCCGTGGAAAATGTAATGGAAGCGAACAGTCAAAAGAGCGCGTCAGGCTGCACTACCTACGATGACCTTTCGGCTCTTGTCATATATAATACATACCAAATTTACATGTTAAAGTCATAAAGCAAGGAAGCCTAGGGTGAGTTTTACAAAGCGACAAACTTCGACAGACAGAATCTAGAGTAGAACACCCGAAAGAACAACCTTCAAACATATTGTAGCGATAGTATTTGTACGAACGGTAAGACCGCCTAGTTATGATGAATCATTCCATCGCGTTATGAATTTGTCCACTTTACCGGCTAGTTTCCTTTCTTATGAATTTCTAGAATTCAGTCTTGACACTTGCTTGCTACAGCTTGCATCTACTTGATTGTTCCTCTTGCTAAAACCCTTGCTTACAACCTTGTCGCGTTCTTGATTCCCTTGTCGTTAAAGATGCCTTGAGTTACGTTGCTGCGTTTGACCGCTTGGGATGAACTAGCGTCGTCCCAATCGGAGCCACCTGTGTAATTGCGTTACGTCTGTAAGAGCGTCCTCGGCCAGCATCGTTGCCGGTCGTGCCACCTTTCATACCAACAGCCGCATAATCGTGGTAAAGGCTGATCGCCACCCCACTAGAACAGCAGCCAGATAGGCTACTGTTACAATATTATATCAGATTTAGAGTAAATATTTATACTGAATACTGTAAGAACAGTAAAAAAGATGGTTATTAAAATTGTGAACGTGTTAAATTTAAAGGTGGTGTCAAATGCTGAAATTAGTGTTAAAGTTAAATGGGGATCATAAATTTTTACAACAGCAAAAGCTCACTTAAAGGTAGTGATGTTGTAAAATTGTTAAAAGATGAAGGAACTGCCACTTATTCATGTACTTACCTTTAAAAATTTAATTTTTTATTAGATTTTTTACACTTTTATTCAGATTGGCGATACAATACAGTTACGACTTTCAAGGAAAAGTAAGATTTGTACTAGCCGAACTGATTATACACACAGCCGCAGTCGACTACGGAAACAGGCGGGCGTAAACGTTTCGTCCAAATTAGCCGATGGTGCTGTTCCCATGACGGAGGTCGCGTTCCCGCGTTGGATTTCAATGCTGATTCGCTGGCGTAGATACGAGTACTCCGTCGCCTGTTTCCTGTCGTATCAGCTTCCTTCAAAACTTAACTATTTATAATTACTGTTGTTCGCGCGGTATGCGCCGTAGCAGCCACTTCTCCAGGCTGCCACCAGAGAAGGGCCAGTTACGTTAATCATTAACGTAGTGACTCATAACGCTTACGTTTACTGTACACGAAAACACTCGCACCTGATGCTCGTACCGTGGATAGCAGGAGTGACCACAGGAAACTTTTTTGCAGAAATATGAAACAGCCACGGCATGTGTTTTTAAGTTGGCACGCTCGTCGTGAATGATCTACTGATAAAACCGCAGATTAGATCTTTTCGCACTGCCGTCGCAGTGGTAGTTAATAGCCAAGTTGTTTTTAAAATGATAAAATGTTCCCTGCGAGTGTTCTTTCCAAGTTCTGCAACTTCGTTGGCTCATCGTCGCCAGTTTCACCGCACTATAGCACTTCAGGTAAACGCATTTAGCATACTGTTCATCCAACTGTTGCTTCGATACTTCATTACAAGCATCTTTTTGCCATAATTTAGCATACCGCAGCACGCAGCATGAAGATCGCAATTATCGGTCAAAGCCTCTTCGGAGCAGAAGTGTACAAAACATTACGGAAAAATGGCCATGAAATCGTTGGTGTTTTTACCGTGCCTGATGATGCACATGGACGAGCTGATCCACTCGGTGTGTATTGGCGCTTCTCGGTGCGCCAGTTTTTTGGTATAGCGATTTGCTTTTTGTAGCTTTAGCTGCCGCTCAGGACGGGACGAAAGTTTTCAAGCAGAAAAGATGGCGAGAGAAGAATCAAGTGCTGAAGGAGGTTTTCGACAACTACAAATCCCTCGGAGCGGAACTGAATGTCTTGCCATTCTGCTCGCAGTTCATTCCTATGGATATTATTCAGTATCCCAAGTACCAAAGTATTATTTACCATCCATCTCTCTTGCCAAAGCATCGTGGAGCATCATCGATTAACTGGTAAAAATTTATGGTCATGATCGGACTTTTGAATTTTCTATGGTATTTCAAAAATTCTCGTCGGCATATAAGTTTTGGTAAAGCCGTAAAGCGCCAGATTTTGCAAAGCGATATTATTGATTATTGTAAACTTTTCTCAATTAATAATTCATTTGATATTTCTGTTTCATACAGAGCCAGAGCACGGTAAACAATTATGTATTTTTCTGAAGGACACTGATGCATGGGGATAAAAAAGCTGGACTGACAGTTTTCTGGGCTGATGATGGCTTGGATACGGGACCGATACTGCTGCAAAAGGAGTGCGAAGTGCAGGAGAACGATACGGTGGACACATTGTATAATCGGTTTTTATTTCCGGAAGGGATTAAAGCAATGGTAAATTCAGATTCAGTTTTGTAAACTGTGTTATATTGGTCAGTAGATTCCCGGCGAGACAAATTTGTTCAAAAACATCGGACTTGACTCGCTCGGAATTTAATGACAGTCATATTACAGTTTGGTATTTTGTTAGGTTTTACAAAGTGTTTTACTTTTTCAAGTTTAGCAACCATAGCAGTTTAGTTTATAGCAGCTTTGATTGTATGTTGCTACATTTTTTATTGTAATACGTAAACTGCAGGCGCAATAAATAAAAAGTACTCAAGTAAGTGTTATTTCAACTGTATTGTGGTTGTATTGTGGCACTGGCATTTGGCTCTTGGGACGGTAACTTTTAAAATTTTAAGATTAAGGGTAAAATAGTAAATTCAGCTGTTTTTGAACGATACACGTGACGTGCAGCAAAAAGCTCTCTGAAGCCGGATATTCAGGCTTCAAAGTGCACTAACTTGGCATGGTTTTGCTGAAGTGTGTACTTTATCTTTAGTATATCACGGAAATCATGTGTCTTTGGTTTTCGTGTTTTCGATATAATCTGTGGGTTTTGGAGTTTGATGTCGGTAGCGGTCTTGCGTTTTAGTGCTGAAATTAATAAGACTAAAGAACTGCGACTTTAGAAATGAATTGTGAGTGTATTTGGAAATGGTTTTCAAAAAGCTGCGCCGTTTTACAGTATTTGTCTGAGTTTGCTGTTGCTGTTACTGATTTTGTTTTGCTTTAATTTATTGCAATTTTTTAAATGTTTTCTTTTGAAATAATATTTTTGCTTTGATTTTCAGTACGAAGCGGTGCAGCTGATTGCGACGAGCGAACACCCACCCAGAGTGGTCCAACCGGAAAAAGGCGCCTCTTACGAACCAATTGTCAAGAAACAAGACTGTGAAGTGAATTTTGACAAGACGGCCTGGGAAATCCACAATCTTATCCGCGGTACCGATAAAGTTCCGGGAGCATGGACGAAGATCGATGGCAAAGTACGTCGACACATCGCTGTTGTAACGGAAGCAGTAGCTTTAGTTGAATTATTAAATCAGGTTATTACGCTATATGGATCCGAAATGTGGCGCCGAGACGTACCCAAAGGCAAAGAAGTCGGGATGGACGGGATAAAAAAAGGCGCTATTGTGCACGATGGCGGGCTGCTTTTGTTTGGTTCAGACGGGAAAGCGGTAATTATGTCTTTCTAGATGCGATTTTCACATTGTTTCAGAGTGAGATAGTGTACAAAGCGCAGCGAACATTTTGTGTACGTATTGTTCCCAATTTTTAACAAAATTAGAGTATAATAGAACGAAGCTGCGCATTTGATTCTTTCTCTCTGACTATATGTTACCCATTTCCAGATTAATGTTAAACAACTTGTATTGGAAGATGGACGAATGATTTCGGCATCCAAGTACGGCGCAGCAGATACATCGATTTCTTTGACGGAATTATCGCCTCAGGAGTTGAACCTCAAACGCATCATTTCGGTTAGCAAAAAAACTGAGAAATAAGGCGTGATTTGCTGCTGATACTTGCTAATATGATCGTTTTTTGCATCTCAGGAAATCTGGGAATCTATATTAAGCCAAAAAATAACACAGGATACAAACTTCTTTAAAGCAGGAGGAGGCTCAATGGATGTGGTTCGCCTTGTTGAAGAACTTAAGCACACCACGGATGTAGCGTTGCAAAATGATGATGTTTATATGAACCCCACATTCGACAGTTTTGTCTCGTGTGCGGTACTGAAATCGCGCGACTCTGGATCGTCTACTTTCGAATTCAACCATGTAAGCCAATTTTATGTATTTTTTATATTACATTCTGATATAATAAAATCTGACTGTCTCAACGCGTGTAATAATAACCGGAGGTAGTTATATTACTTATCAATTAGTCAACCCATAGACGTGACTTTTTTGTTAGGTTAAAATTCAAGCCAACAAGATGGAGCTCATCATCCCTCACGAGTTGTTCATAAACAATCAGTTTGTTCCCTCCGTATCGGGAAAAACTGACCCGGTTATTTGTCCAGCGGATGAAACTACTCTTTGCACAATCTCATTTGCAAACAAGGAAGACGTGGATATTGCGGTGGGTGCGGCCAAGGAAGCTTTCGAGCATGGAGAATGGAGTCGAATGAACGCCCGGGATCGCGGTGCACTTATGTACAGATTGGCGGATCTGATGGAGAAGCACAAGGATGAACTAGCCACAATTGAATCTCTGGATTCCGGCGCGGTGTATACGTTAGCACTGAAAACCCACATTGGCATGTCGATAGACACTTTCCGATATTTTGCCGGCTGGACCGATAAGATTCAGGGAGATACCATCCCGCTAAACCAAGCAAGGCCGAACAGGAATTTATCCATCACAAAAAAGGAGCCCATTGGGTACTGAACTGCATGAAATTAATTGTGGCTCTTACGGTTCGACTGCGACAGATTTATTTACTGTCTTCTGTTTCAATAGGGTTTGTGGCATTATCACACCATGGAATTGTAAGTACTGTTTTGCTGTTCATTTTAGACCTGGGAGAACATGCGTTTGTTTTTCAGATCCTTTAATGATGATTAGCTGGAAGATGGCTGCCTGTCTTGCTGCTGGAAATACGGTGGTATTGAAACCAGCACAGGTGCGTTAATTTCTCATTATATTGGTTTGTGATTACAGTACTGATAATGTTTTTGTACAAAATCTGATTGGCGTTTTATTTCTGTCCGAATAAAAATTTTTCTGGGATATTCAGGTTTCTTCACTCACGGCCTTGAAATTAGCTGAGCTTACTGTACGGGCAGGATTTCCTCCAGGTTAGTGATCGAATTTGTGGAGTGTTTTTTTTTTAATTTTTTTTACATTGATTTAAAGAAGAACTCAGACTTTCGAACCGGTACGGCGAATCAATAAATATTTGTGTGAAATGGGATGGTCTATGCGATTTATCAAACAGTGCCCTATACAACCAGGTGTTATCAACATTTTGCCGGGAGATGGCCGCGTCTGCGGACAAGCCATTATTGATCATCCTGACATTCGGAAGATCGGCTTTACTGGCTCTACCCCGATTGGCCAACACATAATGAAGAGCTGCGCAGAACCTCACTTGAAAAAAGTCTCACTGGAACTCGGTGGAAAGTCTCCATTAATTATCTTCTCGGATTGCGACTTGGACAAGGCTGTTCGCAATGTAAACACACAGTTTTCATAATACGAAATACGAACTCATAATACGATTCATAATTCATAATACGAATAATTCATAATTCATAATTATTCATAACGATTCATAACGATTATTCATGACGATTCATAATTGGCCGAGCGAAGCGAGGCCTTCTATACTCAGCTGGCCAAAAAGTCGAGTGTTTGTGTGTGTGTGTGTGTACACGATAACTTTCGAAGGATTTCCGCTATCCTTCTCAAATTTTGCACGATGATAGAATGATCCAAAACTGAGGTCGAGTTCGTTAATGAGCCTGATCTGACCGGAAATAGGGAAGATCTGGGACTCTGAAGTTAACATAGCGGTCTACGGAGAATGCACTGTCACATTTGGCTTACCACAAGCTTATGGTTACCTGACTGGGCCAACTTATAAAGTCATACATTTACAGTCGCCAGGCAGCGCCCTTCTTTTTAGCGCTTGAGTGTAGAATTCCGAAAGGCAACTTAGAACTGATTTAGACAATTGCCCCTTCCAGCAGCTCGCGCGAACTGGGACAAATGTTCCTATGATTTGTTTTATTGACGCTGTCATTTGGACCGTGGTGAATAAACGCGAAACAGGCTATTAAGTTTCTTATAATTATTAAAACACCCACCGTCCACCGAAGGCGGAGCCGCAGGCGACGCCGAGCTGCGGCGCGGGCGGAGCCCGCGGAGCAGCAAGTGAAACTTTCTGCATAAAAGTTATTAATTTTCAAACAGAAAAACAAAATTCGTAAAACTAAATGCAACGAAAACCATTATGCGGAATGCAAAAAAAGAGCCTTAATTTGTGCCGTGATATTTAGAATTCTACCAGGCTTTACTTGATATGTAAATATAATGTAATGCATGCGGTAAAGACAGAAAGAAGCACAACTAGTGGACTGTGCACAAGGACCGGGAAAGATACCGATACATGTTTTATCGGCTACCAACTGAGTAAAGCGTTGCGAGACTATGTTTTTCAAAGTACTGTACAAAGTACTGTACAGTACTTTGAATTCAGTAGATTAGGTGTACTTAGTTATCTCGTACGAGATATAATTTTCGGTTACTCTATGTATGCGTTCGCAGAAATTGGTTTAATTGGATACTTTCGCACCTTACTGCTTAAATTTAGCATTAATACAACAAACTTTTTACTTTTCGTAATCTTCCAAAAATTAAAGTTTGTTTGAAGTGTTACTTACACTTATATGCTGGGTAACTGCGGGAAGTTTTTCAATTGATCGTATTTCGCTTTTGCAGGCTTTTAAACGCGGCCACAAAATGCCATAAAAATAAAATGCCATAAAAAAACTCTAAAATTTAGACCCTGGACAACTGCAATCGGTACATTAAACACCGAATGCGCTAAAAAACTACTGGGTAGCCGCTATGCTTCTGTAGAATACATAGGCGGTTCTGTAACTTAGTTAGTCCTTAGTTTTAAGTTTAAGACAGTTCGTAGTTACAGTTAAACGATAAACTTTCTACAGTGCGAACCCATGCGAGGCCTGCTTTGCGCGACAGAGAGAGCGTACACCTAGTTATAATACGATTCATAATTCATAATACGAACTCGGTGGAAAGTCTCCATTAATTATCTTCTCGGATTGCGACTTGGACAAGGCTGTTCGCAATGTAAACACACAGTTTTCATAATACGTTTTCATAATTTGTTTGGTAGACGTTATTGCTAGTATGGCGATATAATATTCCTTTTTGTTTGCAGGGCCTTCAAAGCGTTTTCTTCAATAAAGGCGAAAACTGTATTGCTGCGGGACGGCTATTTATCGAAGAGGATATTTATGACGAATTTCTGAAACGTATTGTGGATGAAGTAAAAAAGATAAAGATTGGGGATCCATTGGATCGATCTGTGTCGCACGGACCGCAAAACCACAAGTGAGTTTCTCTCCCTTTTGGGATTTGGCCTCTGTTAATTTGGTGATTTAAATATGTTTAAGCGAAATAACCACTAACCATTGCATTTATGGAATTGATGTAAGATACTTTTACCCATAACAGCCTTCTTTTTCGTTTTATAATAATATTCCCATTCTAGAGCTCACTTGGAAAAATTGCTCAGCTACTGCGACCAAGGTGTCAAAGAAGGTGCACGGCTTCTATATGGCGGTAAACGAGTAGACAGGAAAGGCTACTTCATGGAGCCGACAGTTTTTGCCGACGTGGAGGACCACATGTACATTGCTCAGGAAGAATCTTTTGGCCCGGTCATGGTCGTGTCCAAATTTATGAACGGGTATAAAATTAATAAGAATGAACCACATTTCTCGAGCTCGTTTAAGTGAATGCGCATTTTGCAGCGATGTGGATGGTGTGACCAAACGTGCTAATGCTACACGGTATGGTTTGGCTGGAGGTGTATTCACAAGAGATGTGAGCAAGGCCTTGCGCATGGCGGACAATCTTCACGCTGGAACAGTTTTTGTCAACACTTACAACAAGACAGATGTAGCCGTGCCGTTTGGAGGATTCAAAATGTCCGGATTCGGAAAGGATTTAGGTGCGTTGGGATACTATGACAAATTGATATCTGTTCTTTCCGCTAGCTGCAAGCCTTTTTGCAGGTCGCGAAGCCATTAATGAATATCTGCAGACGAAAGCGATTACCATAGAATACTGAAAATGGATTCGGTGGAAAGATTTTACAGTGTAGAATTGTGGTGTATTCCGTTTTTCTGATTTGTGGACCTTGGTTGTGCTTACCCGGTGCAGAGTTGGATAGCAGAACGAAGAATGATATGGCACTTTTGCCGGCTTAGAATTACAGATTTTTGAATTAGTTTTCATTCAGTCTTTTGGCGACACCGGTTTTTAAAAGTGGTGTAATATCAGTTTCGTCAGTCTAATGTTGTTTGGTAGTTTTTAGATTAGTGAAATTCTCGGACATGCAGGGATTGTTGCATGTTATTAATTTTACGTTTTGTGCGAGAACAGACATGAACTGGATTATTCGTAAAGGTACTCGGTAGTCTGTACTGTACCAAAAGCTTGAATTGCGCTTATACCAACCTTTACTTTCATTTTTCTCAAAAAACGGAATGTTATTAACACTGTATCACTGCAAAGGAAACAAAAAATACAACCAGGAAGCAACAAACCACACTATAACACAATAAAACCAGCAAAATCAGATCAGCAAACAGGAAACCATCAAAACCGTCTCTCAAAGAAAAAGTTTTAAAAACAATGTTTTTTCGCATGATTATATAAATAATCCCCCTCAATGACTCTGATGGCGGGGCCTCCTTTCCTGCTCCATCTGGTCAGTCTGCCACCGATTGATCCTCTCTTCATTAATCTGTGTCTTGGACAGACTCCTCACCAAGTCGGTCTGATCGAACCCGGCATTTTCATCGGGAATACCGATAACCGTACTGGGCGAATCTGAGACAAACCGATCCGCCACCGAACAATCACTAGATACCGAAGTTGAATTTCCGTACCACTCCATCGTCTGCGTTTCTTGGTCTGTTTTCAATGGCTTCTTACTACTACTGTGTTTTTTGCCCACCCGTAAATGATGTCCGGCCTTCCGGACCGGCCGACGATGGCGATGATCATACAGTCCCGACTCGCTGTGGCTGATATGCAAATCCAGTGCCTCTACGGTCTCGCTGTGAATCGGGCGATAACGGTGTATACCCAATCCCTCAGAATGTTTCCGCTCATAACTCATGGCAATGCCATCACCATCCAGTGAATGCGCCACACCGGGAACCGGCGATGCATCCTGACGATCGTGTTCTTTGCGCAGTTCATCAAATGCTGCACTGAATTGGAGATTACGGATTGCCAGGATAGCCCACTGCTGTATGTAGGGGTTACGGTAGTCGATGCGGGCATTCTCCTTGAGATGCTGGAGAAGATTACGCTCTGCAGCGCGCTTCTCTAGATCAGGGTTATTATAGACCAGATTGGCCAGGAGACGAAGAAGTCTGCTTTTTAAGCCACGAGCCGGGGTAATGAGATCCTGGGGTTTGACATCGGCCAACTTTTCAACGGGAGAGAATTGGTTGGGTGCCGCCTTTCCGGCAGTGTCCACTTCGATAAAAGCGTCTAAAACAATCACAGCTCAATCGATTAACTTATCATAACTTAAAGTTAATATATGTTAGGTTATTTATTTGTCTGTGGTACTCCACATCCTGACAAACTCTGTATGTTAAAAAGACAACATACAGCTGTGCGATGGCGGCATTACCTATAGTGCAATCAAGTAGAGCAGCGCTATCCACAAATGCTTTTCGTGATTCTTCACTGGATGTGACGTTACCGAGCATATCCAAAGTTTTCAACACCAGTTCACATTCCTGCAACAGCAGAACCAATTTAATAACCCACGCGAAAGACGGCTAACCAAAGATAAAAAAAATACCTCATCCGCCTGCGTGCTAATATCTTTCAACCGCATCAAACATCGTGAACTTGTAATAAATTCATGCGCAATTTTCTCTGGCCAGAATTGTGGAATACATGGACTTGTGCCGCGACCATTCAACGTAAACATGCTGCTGAGTAAATCCAATATTGCACACCTACAAGAATATAGCTCTTAACTAAATTACGTAAAGCTTTAGCTAAAATGGTTATGAACTAACTATTTATCAAATTCAAACAAATTATTATCGCAAATTTTTAAAAGTCACCAGGCGTTAAATTAGAAATGATTTTGGTCCCACTCACTTTGCGCTTAATGGCAATAAATCGAAATCCCGTTGAGCCACCAACGGGCACTGAAGAAGGTAACCAGCCAAATCAAATACTGCTTCAAATGCGACCATGGAATCTTCCCGTGCTCCAAACACAGAAATGCGTTCAAATATCCGTGCCGCATAGCCGCGATCCACGATCTGCTCAATGCGTTGCTCCGTGGCACAATTGACAATGGCCGCGGAAATATAATTTAAGAGTTTGTCTTCCTCCAAGATAATGAGAGATCTTAAAAACGCACAGAAAATGTGATCTCCAAGCTCCAAAGTGGAAAATCCCAACGAAAGCTCAAAAACACTCACCCAATTACTTCGAAGAATTCCGACCATACCACGTTTTGTATCTCCGGATCCTGTCGGACACAGTTGGCTATCACCTGGACTCCACAGGCCATGGAATCTCGAACTGTCACTGTTATAACAGAAAAAAAAACGTAAAATAATTAAAAATTTGGGCATGAAACATAAAATGAACTTTAACAGACACCAGCTATCCAAATAAAGTAAAGTGCAAGCTCGGGTACACTACTTGACAGCACAACTGAAGCATTAAAACACAACCAAAATCTCTATCCACCCTTGGCTTAAAAGGTAACGCGCTTAACACAGCCGTAGCACTTTCCTTGATAACAGTCAAACTAAACCGTTGTTTAAGAAAAGCAGCAGAATTAATTATCTCCTCACGTATACCGGTAGGCCAATACTTAACCTGGCATTTCTTCGCCACTACACTACACCCTCCTCCATTACAAAACAACACTATTTACTTAGCTCAACATTTCAGTAGGGATCCAAACATGTGCCAGTGGCGACATAGACTAGAACAAGCTTGCTCATTGAGCTTGCTGCCAGCGGCAATATTTAACGAACCTTTTATCCACGGATCCGCGAGAGAAGGATCAATCAGGGGAACAATTCGCTCAATTACATCGACGCCCTGGCGCAGACGCATCAGCGTAGTTTTCACGTAGGTTTCCTTTGATCTATTCGTACAGCACCCAGCTCGTGAATAACAATAGCGGAAGAACACTGCAGATTGCAATGTATTCGACTATTCGTACTTGAAATCGTAGTGGTCCGCGTTGGCTGCCAGCCAGCGATAGCAGCGGAAGAGATCGCCGAGGCACGTGAAAAACTCTTCATCACTCTCCGTGGCCGGACGCACCTGGCCGCGAATTTTTGGAGTGCACGTGCACAGTTCGTACAACTTGGAAGCAGCATCCCGAATGGTCGGCAACAAGGAGTGTATTCTGCTCGCACGAAGGGAAAAGAATCAATTTTCGACAATCCAGTTTAGGTTACCTCTTGATCAGGTGTTCGAGCAAGCTGCACCTTTTACCTCGCTTCGTCTTTCGGTATGGAAGAGCGGCGGTAGAATTTCTGCATTTTCTTCACGGTGTTGCGATGGATGTAATCCAGGCTATTCCCACTGGGCTGCGAGAAGGACCGAACAAAACGTGGTTCTGTGATCGTTCCAGTGCGAGCCGTGAAGCCATCATTCAGCAGCCCCGGCGGCTGCGAATTATCTTCTTGACTGCAAAGACTTTGGATTATGACACAAAATATCGATCAGTTCACGGGGATTTATGAGGAGCGAAGAGTTTACTTCAAGTCGGCCATTCAAGGCCAAATTAGCGACAAACTGACGTCGACGTGCGTGGTGGCAGGCAGGCTTCGCAGATGATGCTTTCTCGTTTCTCTCAGACTGGCCACTAGTGCCACACGATAAGGAACTGAGTTCTTCTGTAGTATCGTATAAATTACAGCACCCATAAATCATACGGATAGTGATTATTATTCACTTGAAACAAGTTACCAGTTATTCAAAATTTAATTTTATGCAAAATAAAAAAATTATACAGTGCAGTGTGATTAAATTTTCGCCAGTGTAAAGTCGCTTACTACTTGTTGGAGTAGTAAAGGTTTACTGGTAGTGCGGCCGCCTTTGAAGAAAGAGCGGTGAAATTTTATTTACGTTACCTATTGAACTTGGTAACTTGTCGATCGGCCCCCTTGGAACGTCTTCGTGACTGCTTTAAAATGGTGCTTTCTCCAATTAAAGACCAATTTTCTCCAAATCATTCTCCAGTTAATTTTTAGTTTTAAATTTTCCCCAAAGAAAGGGAATGGTATGAAGGATTTTTAATTAAAGAAATAAATTGAATGATTATAAAGCATTGTACCTTCCGTTGCCATTTGGCATTCCGGTTTCTTTGAGTCAAGCACAAAAATTAGTGAAATTGTTAAAAAAGCCCTTGCAGAAAAGCTCCAGTACTAACGATAAACACAGAACGATGCTAAAGGGCCATTATGTACCCTAAAAATTGAGTAACCGCATATATAATAATTATAAGTGATAAATATTATAATTTAATTCTTGTATGTACAACCACTGTTTGTACTATTGTAGTTACGTAATCAGTGACTTACTACATCTGTAATATAGTCTACATAGCAAACAATGAATTAATTCGACAAGTTGGCTAACAGGCACCGCATATCATTAAAACGGAAATAACAATACTAAATTATAGTTAAGCTATTTTTATCAAGGGTAAAATGGCAGAAGAACATATAGTAGTAGTCTAGTTGGTAGTAGTAGTCTAATAGATTGGTAGTCTAGCTCGCATTTGTGTTCTGCTGCATTATATTTTATTTCCTAAAAAGATTGTCGCTGTCTGGTATCTCTGAAGTAGTGCTTTTTCGAATTGCAAGTATGCAGGGTATTTTCTGAGCAACCATCTCCGACCGGAATAAGGTGATTTAAGATCGTACAATAAAATAGAATGATACTTAGTTAAATACTCGGACTGGTAGTGCTATGATGTGGAGTGTGTGATATTTAACGTTAATCAAAGTAAACAACTCTATAAAATGCAAGTGTGATTAGTGTACCCTGCTATTATTTCAGAATTTGCCAGTTTTTACGTATGCAGACTTAGGACTTAGGAGCTTACTTAGTACACTGGATAAACTGAACTTAAGTCAACGCTTTTAACTGCAACAGCCAACAGCATAAATTTATGCATAACCGACCAAGTATCGACGCAGAAAAAATATGGGAACTTCGATGTCGCTATAACGATACACCGAACATTGCACAATACGTTTCGTGCCTGTGTGCTGTCTCGATCGTTGCCGCCCTGAGAAAGTGCCGGCGCCTTCGCTTCCAGGCCACTCTCTTTTCGCGGTGTAATCTGATGGCGCCTAACTATCCAAAGGTTTTGACAAAATCAATTTTCCGTAAAGCGATCTGTGGATAATCAGTTTTCGAGACATTATCGACCGTGGTAATTGGCCGGCAATTAAAACTGTTTCACTCCGGAGAAACAGCGGGTGGAGAATACTGGCCGACGGAGTCTTGCAAATGGTGGATCGAAACATGCGATCTAGATAGGAGCATTCCGCTACATAGAAAAAAGAGAGAATTTCTTGACTCATACGCGTCAGAACAAAGAAAGGACCCTGTCCAAATGGACTTTAGGTATTTCCAGGCTAGCCGACGTCGTTTCTCGAACGATACGCCAAAGTATCGCTTCTTGGCATCAGAGGCTATATAAGCGCACACCGCTGCAGTTTGGAATCTACGCTTTGCCTTTTAGACATTTTGCAGCATCTAGAAATTTAGTTGTGGTTTTAGTCGTAGTTCGTAGTCGCTTCTCAGCTTCTTAGAAATGAAATTCCTCGTTGTTCTCGCTGTTTTGGGCGCTGCCTTCGCCGATGAGGTCGATCCGCAACAACAGGCCCGCGCAATGATGGCCAACCGCATCCTCACGGCGGATCCCTCCACTTTCATCGACTGCCGCAACGATCCCACCAACGGATGCGCTGCCAAGCCCGGCTGGAAGTGCCAGAGCCTGATGAAGCTGTGCTCACCCGGCAATGCTCCCGCCCTGGAAGCCACCGGTAAACATCCACTTTTGTGACCTTTACTGTGTAAACACCGGAATCATTTAAGATTCGCTATAATTATTATTATTTGCTGTTCAAGCAATCCAGATGCTTTCAGCTATCATCTTTTAGCTCGTAATATATTTTTAGTTGTGCTTCAAGACTATTATAATCAATGATACATTATCAATGCTATAACTTAAATGTTGCGTTTTCGGGTATATGCCTTTGCGATCGCGCAACAGATCGAGATCAGCAATTTCAATTTCCAAATGCTGGGTGTGATTTCGCTACTCGTTGTAAAATAGTAATGAGTACTAATTATTTGCAGAGGGAAGCTGCAATGCCAACAGCGCCGATGTCCACAAGGAATGCAAGCCGCTGTACCGTTGCAACAAAGACAGCAAGTGCGCTTTCGTCGGTCCGCGTGCCTGTGAAGCGGAAGCTGACTGCAATGCCAATGTTGACGGTATCAGCTTCGACTGCAAGGAACTGCCCAAAAACGCACCCGGCAAACGTTGTTGGATGAAATGCAGCAGCGACAACGACTGTCACGGTTGTAAGGCTGACGGCTCCAACTGCCGGTAAGAAATCTGGGGTTTTCTCGGTCATTACTAATGTGCGCAGCCCCTGCTGTAATTATTATTGTAATTTTTTGCAGTATTCCTGAAAACTTCCGCAAACAGATTGGCTGCTGCTCCGGCGTCTGCCAACGCAAGTCGCAGTGCTAAACCAATGGTCATCCGATGCAGCTTTATATAGTGTCCATTCCAGGCTACCTTTGTTACGCAATATGATAACCTTTGAATAAACCGAAATTTGCTCAAATGAAATACTGTTTTTGTCTTGTAAAGTGTCTAACTGGGTTTACGCGTCGTCCTTCGCATTGTAACAAGCCAATATCAGACTTCTTCGGATCAAGTGACAATTAGTTGACATGGTGGTGTTTAATAAGTAATGGGTTACTGTAATTCTTAGATGGGTGTTGTGCAGACATTTTTGGCACTCGAAATAAAAGTCACTTGGAATTAGCAAGATGATGCCGGGGCCGGTACGGTGCATCCGGTTACAAACAGATATGCATGTTTTACGTAGAATAAACGGCACGAAAAAAATTAATCAGACTTTGTTGAAGAAAAAAAATTAATAACACACACCGAAATTAATATCACACTGAAACCTTGTTTCACCGGGCTTACATACCATTTGGTTTATGTTTCCGGCCCACATTTTTGGAAATAATTGGGCTTTATTGTATGTACTTACGATTTTTTTGATATTGGTAATAGTTTTCGACTTTTCGTCATCACTTTTTAATTTTTTTAAAAAAAGATCGGAATCTCTTTTTTTGGCGAACGAAATAGTTTGCGACAGTCCTCATTAATTTGTCTTGGTGTCTAAAAAATAATCTTGCGACAGTCACCACACTGGCCACAGGTCTGCATGAGCCTTAACCATAAGGTTGTCTAATTTTGATTCACCAGAAGTCTGGATTGTATACTTCGTACCCCAATTCGGATTATGGATGAAATCGAATACGTGTGACGCAATACATCAGCTTTTCTGGTTTTTATGCACATTAAATTTTATTTTACTGTAAATCTGGATAGGATGTGCGTGCGGAATCAGATTGTTATGGATCAATGATGGTTAACTGCATGCAAGACATACAATAATGCAAACGACCCTTGTGTTGATTGACGATTTCAGCACTGTTGCATGTATTATTTTTTGGTGCCGACTCATTTTTTGTTGGGTTGTGGCAGAAGGAATGTAGTCAATCTGAACTTGTCTAAGAGTCAGATTTTTCTAATGACGTGATGATTTATTTCCTACACTTTTTGATGGCAGAGATTGTTATAACGAATATCTATATACAGTATAACGATACCTGGCCAACATGCGTATCTACCGTAGCCGATGACGTAAAACGACATCATATCGAATGTTTTCATACGATATTGCACTAGTTGCTTTACATTATTCACGCTTCTAATCGTGAATCGTGATTTACAGTTTGCATAGCGATAAGCGTAATGGTCCATTAAATTCGAACTTATACTGCATGCACACATTTGCAAAATTTTTGTTGCAGCAGTCTTGGAAGTTTAAAGCACCGCTGCTTTAGCCTGATTTTATTTAACTCCGAAGTTTGATTATAACTGTCCCGCTAACAATAACCAGCTTTTGTTTCAATCTTGTGTATATCTAATAACATCACTCCGAAGTTTTGATGTTCTCTTTTCCTCTTGGTTACTATTTTACGGAAGTCCTAATTTGTAATCAGTAGCCCGCATCTAGTGAAGACCATGTTGCATTCGCGTTCGGCCAGTCATTTAAAAGACCACGCTTCGTCGTTGTTTCCCTCGGCATCCGAAGAACAGCTGGATGGATTTCTCCACATCAAGTACGAAATGCTCGACACATCCCCGATTAGCCACTTTATTCTGCGCCCATACTGGCGCGTTGTCTCATCCCGAATGCCCAACTTTCCACCGGGTATCCTGATCTTTTCCGGGTTAAGTATCATTATACTGAACGTGGTTATACTGACATTCTGCGACCCTGCGTTTGACAGTCATACTGTTCCGGTTGGAATATGGTTGCTGTGTGGAGTTTTTCACTGGGTGTCACTGACCTGCGCCGGTGTGGATGCTGCTGGACGACTGACCCGCCGCGAGGATCTGTCGCAGTCGGCGTATTTGTCGATGGAGTACATTGATCAGGCTATGGATAGCGTCAGTATTCCTATCAAGATTATCTGTCTTTTCCATCTGACGGGGGTGAATGCTAATAAAACGGGACTGTTTTCCCACCACACGGCATTTTTATTTTTCTTGTGCATTTTGGGGTTGAGTTTGTGTCGCCAGTGGCGGAACTACAATACAGGGATATTTCGCTCCTCCGCTTTGTTTGATGGTCTGGACGTGGGTTTGTGTGTGGGATTCTTCCTAAAAGCTTTGACAGCGATCTATAGCGGATATGCGCCCGGTACAGTACTTAATTTTTGGAATTATCTGAATAATTTTACTTGGCCACGTCATTTTATTTCTTAAGTTTTTCAATGATGTGTACCCGTACCCACATAAAGGCCATTTGACTACTACTGTTAACTACAGTAATTCATCCACTCCAAATCGTCAGAAATCAGGATTTTACTTTTATGTCGTATAACACTTTCTAAACAAAATTTGTCCAGTAAGAATTTTATTAGTTTCAACAAAAGTTTACCAAAGTTTGAAAAATAAATTATAAGATTTTCTCATTTTTGTTGTGTTCGCACAAATCGAACAATTTGTTGCATTAGAAGTTAGAACTTAGAAGCTGTGCATATTAGATCGGTATGCGTTAAACAGTATTGGTTGACACAGCTTATCTAATTGTTAGGTGATCTGCCTGAATGGATGCATACGATTTTAGCCACCATGATTCTGGGATTGATGGTTTACATTATCCGGACCACTTTCCGCCTGGCAGGGGACATCTCGCTGTCGGATATCGTCACGAACCGCACACCAGTGATTCCCTTCATTGTCATATCAGCTGTACAGTATTTTTGGTTGTCTCCTGATTATCCCGCTGTGTTTCCCTATATCTGCTGGTCAACCACGGTTGTCTACAGTCACATCGTGTCGCGTTGGATTTTGAACCAGATGAGTGACAAACCGGAAACACAATGGAATGTAATGGGTGTGCTAGTGCTGCTGACCGGTATCCTCCACATGTGTGGCTATATTCCTCCAGACCTGCGTGTGCGATGCGCTGCTGCCGTATGCATCGTTTGTACGGTGTGGCAGACTATTTATGGGATCTGCATTCTTAACGCTCTGCTATACCGGGTATTATTGGCGATATTCGAGGCTTTTTTTCGTCATGCTGCTACATGGATGGTCTCGCTTTTTGGTAAAACTACTAAGTCAGCAAAGTAAACGTGTTTGCTTGAGGTAAAATTTTATTTGTCTCTGGCAAAGCATGGGTTTGCTTTGCAGAGATAGAATGATACGTTTTTTGTGTGCTTGCGTTTAGTAAGTTGCACCGGTTGTGATAATACGTTCAGTTTTTTGGCTGATCTCAGACTGTTTTATATTATGCATTTTGCAAATTTTTATGAATGCTTGTACTATGTCCAGTTCTGATGTTTAAAAACGAATTAAAGCGTGAAGTGATTGTGAGCAAAGTGCTTTTTATTCGTCCAACGTAAAAAACAGCCGTTTTTTTACCTTCGCCGTCTATACGAATTCGTTCAGTTCAGCGTAATACTACTGTTTACATATACCAGTAAAACCACATTTACCGCAAAGGAATAAAGTCTGAACTTCGCGTTTTCATAACAATAATCACGATGTTGGCAACAGCCTTTCCGCTGAAAACTCCATTTGTTGTCATGCTCATTTGCATTTCCAGGTCCACTTCCTGTGGATCGAAGGCTCTCACCAGAGATATGGTTGCCTGTAACATAGCGTCGTAATTAACAGCCGAGTGCATAAGTCAACGTTGTGAAAATCTGTGCAAAACGGCCTGCCTGCGAAATGATTTTAAAAGGCTATGAATTTTCGAATGCAACCGGTGAGATGCACCAATCCGTAACGCATTAAATTCATTCAGTTTACTGCAAGGAAAATCGCTCGCAGCACCAGAAAAACTGCGGCAGTGAGTGCGGATGTGTTCGAATGCGCATTTGGCATATCTTAATATAAATTACGTGCAATAAAAATACGAGCACTAGAGTTATTACGTGTTAATAGATAAACTTACTAATATTAAGCACTGTATTTGTTGTCAAACATCTACACCCGCTTGGTGATTAAATTACGAACCGAACCGTACCTGGTTAAAACCGGTTGAGCGCACATCGAAAAACCGTCGATCAGCTGGTTTGGAAGTCGGAACGAGCAAGCGGGTATTTTTCAACTCCAAATTGAATTCCACGTTAGTGTGGGGCTGCTGCGGACCTCGCATTGTAAAGAGATCAATCCGGCCATTTGGCGGGAAAACGGGCTTGCTGGGAATGGCCATGAAGTTATACGAAAAGGATATTGGCTGGTGCAGGCAGGCCGAATCGCCGATCGGACACACCAGTGAACGTCTCCTACACCGGCTACAAAAACAAATCGTAATACAGAAACCGTACTGTTTTAACATTAATAAGGTTTACAATTATTTTAAATGTAAAGGTAATGATCAGGTGCACGCTGTGACGACACATATCGAACATTACACATATCAAATTGTGTTATAAATATGGATATCTATTCTGATTGTTGGTTATTTTTGGGGAATTACTTCTTTTGATCCTGATCCTGGATGTATCCCGGTGGACAGCGCACAGTGTGACAATGGAAGCTTCCTTCAAGGTTGGTGCAGATCTGATCCGATCGGCTGCACTGCTGCTCATCTTTGCATTCGTCGATATCCTGACAATTGCGGCCATCAGGCAACATACGGAAACCGGACGGACATGTACAATTATATCCCCCCGGAACGTTAATGCAGTCACCGAAACAAAGCTGGTGCGTTGTCTGTTCTTTGCATTCGTCGATATCTGCATCGAAATGAATGTTATTTTAACGATTATTTGAATAAATACATTACAAGCTAACATGACAGCGAGAAGTCCCTGTGTTCCCACCACTAACCGTCACAACTGCGGTTATCGGCGCCCAGTTTGAAGCCCGTTCGACAGGTACAGTTATAGCCGCCCCAGGTATTAATGCATCCTTGCTGGCAGGGATTATGCTCCTCGCATTCATCGATATCTGAACCGTACACAAGACAAAATTATATTAGTCATATTACAAACAGCACTTCGTGCATAATTTTAAACAGCAGAATAAATTTTTAATTAAATTATATCAATGTACTACCGTTTCTATCAATCCGTTATGACAAAAGTAGTGCTTTCAAAGTAAATAACAACCTTGACAATTATTATCAGCGGTCTGTCGGAATCCATCCTTGCAAATGCACCGAAAAGATCCCGGAAAGTTCTCACAATCCGCGCTCAGCACACATGCACTAAGGCCGTAACGCTTGCATTCGTCAATGTCTAAAGTGACGCGCAATTACCGACAAAGGTCACGAACAAGGCGGTATCTCATAACAGCGTCATTACTAATTACACCGCCAACTATAGATACAGTGTATATTCCGCAAGTTCCATTGAAATTATTCATAAAGTAATGTAATTACCTACACTACAGTAAAGTAATGTAATTACCTATGTAATTACATACAGACTCTGTAAATGTAATTACCTACACATTCTTTTCTTGAATTGTCAAATTCGAATCCCTCTACACAGGAGCAGTAGTAGCTTCCCGGGCGATTTTCGCATCGCTGCCCGCCGACGCATGTATGGGTGCCATCCGCACACTCATCCACATCATTGCAGCGTGTTCCCTCCTCGTTCATGAGGTATCCGCCTCCGCAGTTTAGCTATAAAATAACACGAACGTGATATAATAGATGTAACGATCAGATTTCTTTCAAGATATATGTTAAAATACATTTCTGTGAATCTGTACATGTACACCAGCCACAAAAATCATCTTGGAAAGTGTAGCAAGGCTTGAAAATAGTAATACGTATGTCTCGTATACGTACCATATCTCGACACATAAACGAGCCAACGGTGTTAAAACAATCTTGATTCCTTTTGCAAGCGCCACGGGAAGCACATTCATTCACATCGCCACAGTTTCCTTCATCATTCGGCTCAAATCCCGGCGGGCAGTCAACATGAATACACTGTCCCCGCTCGTAATCCAGTCGCATTTTCTTTGGACATCGTTTCGGTGTGCAACGAAAAGAGCCTTGAGTGTTGATACATTCGTAGGCCAATCCACAATTGTGATTTCCCAGCACACATTCATCGTTATCTACCATAACACGATTCTTAAATAACCTCGTTCTCAACATACGGTACCTGTATTCTATTAATTTTTGGTATGCGCACAGTAGTTCGTAGTAGTGCAAAATGAATATTACCTAAATTTGATTTAATTAGCTTAATCGGGGCCACCTTCCCTCCCTTTTAAAAAGACTTTAACTAGGTTCTGTTTAAACTTTTAAAATGTCGATAGTGTTCTTATGTCTTTTGGAACTAATACCTATGCATTCCCGGCGATGAGCGTCAAATGTGTAGCCAGTACCACAACTGACCTCGCGGATACATCGGAAAGTGCCGGGTTCGTTTTCGCAGCGCATTCCAGTTTCGCAGTTATCGATATTCATGGCGCATTCATCGATATCTTCAAATAGAACCCAAACAAATTAGTAGTACTCAAAAAACTAAAATGGTACAGGGTAAACTGACAGAAAGGTGTCGTGTTTCAGTCGACCAAAAGACGATTATTTGTAGATTAGTCCAACAAATTTTAAGCGGCACTGCTAGCCGGCTGACCCAGGCATAAGAATACTCAACCCTGCACGATTATGCCATCGGTATAAATAAATGTATTCTGGTTATGTACTACATATTTCCTGAATACAATAAACAATATAAACTGACGCTCTCGCAAAATCTGTTATGCGAAATTATGTATTATAATTATTATGTGGCCTGTGCATAAATCAAGTAGATTGGTGGAAACTGTCTCTGCAACAAAGACGAGATTGTCTCACCTTCACACCGTCCAGCACGTGTATTCATCTGATAGCCTTGTGGACATTGCCCGTGCGGCACACTTCCGGTGTCCGTTAAGGGCGCCTCGCATTTGAAACTGCCGACGGTATTGACACACTTCTGTCCCGGCTGGCAGTTGTGCAGGCCACGGTTGCACTCGTTAATGTCCAAGCACTGACCAATGCCGGGATGGTAACTGTAGCCCGGCAAACAGCGGCCGCCTGTCGGGCTTTCCGTTACGGGATCCATTTTTAAACAGGGTGGACCCGTGCCGTCGGGATCATCGGGGCATGGTGTTGTGACTACGATGATCTCCATTACAATTTTGTATTCTTTTCACCTGCGTTTAAATTTCAAAATGCAGCCGATCCTAAATAGGCTATCAGAACCTCTTTTAAAACTGCCCTTTCAATTTCTACTATGCATTTCCCGTAGCCGATTTTTCTTTTTGTCCTTGTCGTTAATTTAATATAATGCTTTGCATCAGCCATGTATGTCTTGCAGTTTTTTAGCAGACTACGGAATTTCAGTCCTAGTATCTAAAAATTAAAATGTTTTCCTTTTCAGCTGACAGAATGCATTTCAATGCACGCGGTCTTCGACTCGGATGACAAGGTTTTCTTTTCACCATGAAGTGTCTTCGAAATTAATAATACGCAGAAAAACCACAGTGTACAATATTCATTTATTTAAGCCGCATGACACAACAGGTTTCTGCGGTCATCGAGAATTTTTTCATTCATGGCAGTGATTGCGCAACATGCTCGGAACATAACACCCTACTCCAGAGGACGTAATTAGCGCAATGCCGAAAACTGCTCATTCAGCTAATGGTTAGCTGTTTTCTATCATTTTCAAATATCCCTTTATTGAATGCGATCCTACCACATACCTTGCGCCAGCGTTTGATCACGTGGTCGAGAGGACGCCGTGCTCTGGCGCGTCCGAATGGAATCAGGACGTGCGGTACCCTCTGTCCGGTTGAAATGACCTTGGCGTTGTTTAGACCAGTTGCAGCATTCTGTATACAGTTTATTACACTGGGCAATTTGGAATGTTGCCGAATCACACTGTTTTCCATAACCCGCACTTCCCGCTAGCAGACCCAGCTGACAGCAGTCGCAGCATTGCTGATCAGCGCCAACAAAAAAATTTACAATGCTTTTCCTATGCACCAAGAACTTTCTAATTATAAAACTAATTATGTTATAAGTACATACAAGACGATGTGTGAAAAAAAACTGTATGCCGTATTTATATAAACAAAATACGTACTTATTAACTCGTAGTAAGTATTAACTCACAGGACTGCTCCTATTTCACTATGGCAGTCTTGATTTTCTTGAGCTGCTGTTTTTCCATTTTCACATTGCCCGACTTCGATTTCTTCTCGACAGCATACACCTATTGTAAATTGCAAATAAACAGAGTGACAGAGTCGATCAAAGCGGTGTATATAAAAATAGTATCAAATGCATGCTTCAGACGGTACGTAATAATGACGATACAAATCTGAAGTGTTGAATTGATAATTACTGTTTCCACACTTCACAGGTGACAGTGCAGTATTGACAACTGCCACAATTTTTGTCACGTTAATCTTTTCTTTGAAACAATCTACCGAATACATACATCAGTTCAAACTGCTTGGAAAATTCAAAATTGTCGTACGAATCTTTTATGCAGCTGTAAACATCACATACCCAAAGCGACAGTGCACCAATACTGGTCTTGCCGCTGAACACCGGAAACTGGTGTGGGATATTCGTCACAATTATTATCCCCATTTCGTCCGTAATTTTTCCCAAGAGTGCAACAATGTGAGAAAATCCTATCCAGCTCCGATGTAACTGGAACGATAATATGGCAACTTCATACATACATAGTAGTAATTTATACAAAACGAATACTCCACACATAGCAGATAACCATTTTACCAGTGCATATTCCAGCGAAAAGGATCAGAGAGATTAAGTGCAGTTTCACGGAAGCACGGTGATCCATTTTGTTTTTGTTAATCGGTCGACATAGATTTGCATATGAAATTTCGATGGCAAAACCAATCGGACGATCAGTGATATATAACGACGGATGACGTAAACCGCATCCTGCTTATGTGAATGCGGTTCCAAAAATCAAATCGGGAACCACCCGTGCATTACGGTTCCTTAATACTACAGTTGCATTCGTGTGTTTCGAATAGTAAGGGCATGACATGGTCATTAAGGCTTATCATATAAATCAGTTTGCCAGCCATTTTTAATCTTCTTCGCATAGTGACACCACGCACGCTATTAAAAGGTAAATAGCAAGTGGCATCTGATCGCGACTCTAGTGCAAGCAGTTCGGTAGTAATTAATCTACCGAATTTCTCGCGTGAGAAATCTGATTTCGGCCATCAAGATTGATAATGAATGGTCGCTCCGCAGATGTGGCCGTTAAATTTAAAATTTAATCCAGTTGACTCGTTAGTCGTCACATTATACATCAATTATGCACATGATGTCTTCAAAGTACATTGCCGAATGTAATTTACGAATAATTTAAGGTACTTAGGCTTCTGAAGATGTACCCGGTATCTGTTCACCAACTTCAATACTTTTGTGCTACTACTTGCGCAATGATTACGGCTAACGGAACATTTATGCCAAAATTTATTCACACTCTTTGGCAGAAGTGATTTTTCCGGCGCGAAAAAATATAAGCTCTACAAAACTTTCAGAATATGTATCGCAATTAAAACACTCTGGCAACAATCTGGTATATCAAAGTAAAAATCAACAAATCCTTCCTCGCACAGACAATCTGTACCACGTACAGATGCAGCCATTATCGTACAAGCAATCAATACAAATAATGTTCAAATTAAAAGAAAAAAAACTGAAAAGAAATGCTCAATTGTAAATTACAAGAAAACCCAGCACGCAAAACCACAAATCAGCCGCGAAATTCAAGAAACCGGGTTCTTTGTGGGCCTATAAATCTTGACACACAGAACACTTCAATCCAGTGAATGAAAAGAATAAAAAGTTAAAGCAATATTCCCGTTACATATGCCCAAACAAAACAGAGAGTGTCGGACTAGCGGGTGGAATGCCAACCAGCGTATCAAAACAAAGAAGAAACGTAAAATCTTTTTTACCTAAATTCCCCATTTCCTGAATCTTTTTCCCCATCGGCAACCAATCGACTAGCACCAATCAGAATACGCACACTCACAAATCACGACGATATAAATATATCCATTTGGATATAATACTTCGGGTACGTGTTTACGTGAGAAAATCCATATCCAAATGCTGTGCTTCTGACATATTAAAATTCTCGAAAGGATTGGTCAGTGACGAGACCATCGGGTCCATTTCCGTGGTATCCATCATGTTGGCTAGTTCCGTTACACTGAAGTTAACTCCCACAAACTCCTCCGGCAACGACATACTCATGTATTGAGGAAAGACTTGGGGGATGGGAGATTGGGCGGGCTCCTGCTTAATCTGCACATACTGGTTTTGGGACGGAAAATGGTGTGCTGCTGCATTAGGGGTCGCTTGCGGCTGCTGATGAGTGGGTGTACCGGGGTACGAGTCAGGCTGAGGGGAACCTTTGCCGGTAATGAGAGCACTCAGGTGGGGCGCCAAACTGGCCATACCAGTCATATCCACGCTGTTCAGTGGTAACTGAATACCATGCGCCTCAATCAGTCTTTCCAGTTCCTTCAAAATAAACCTCATTGCAATATTCAAGCCTTTTTAATAAATGCTACAATTACGTCAACCCACATTAATTTCACTGACACACACTATAATACACAAAGTAACTTAACGAATTCGAACTTAGCAAATCGGTTACAGTATCCACTCTTGTTAAAAGGTTATTAAACTGCCTATTGCGAAAGGATAACATAATCATGGGAAAACACCTTGGTCGAGAATTTGAAGGCTAATCCAAATATCAAACAACAACCTATTATCTATAACTGAATGTAACCCTATACGAACTAAACGGCTGACAAATGGAAAAACTGTTTAACAAGGCAACAGTGACAAACTTTTGACGTCAGAAGAGAGAAATTCAAAACCTGGCACAAGACAAACGATAACCAGAAAGAAGGCATGCATGCTTGCCAAACGATAAAACAGTCATCTCTCCACGATTTATTCGTAAATTAATGTGCTCCTGCGGAAAATCGCTCAACAGGAAACTCCCCTTTCAATGGTGCGCACGCCTCATCGTGAAACTTTGAACTCATTAAATCAGTCAAGAAGCTCTGAAACAATGCCTCATCAGGAAATCCTCACATCTCTGTTTAATGCAGCAGCTTACATGATTTGATTTGATATCCTTAAGTGTATCGGCTGAGCTTGCTACAATGTGCGATGCTTATTTCGAATTTCCAAGAGGCTGAAAACAAGAAACTGCTCCACAGGTAGACTTCCATGAAATCGACGGTGACTTTTTGCACATAAATTCCCCCAAGCTACTACCCTAGTATATTGAGTGAACACCATAAGATGTTCCATCATAAGCTACATCTGAAGGGTGTATCTTACTCGCCCAAATCTCTTTACTATTACAGATGTTGCTCAAAATCTGTCACTTCACACTAAACAGTTTACACGACCTGGCAAGCCAATCCCATAAAAAAATAATCAAGGAATCGCCTAATTAACAATTAATTTAGTTTTTAAAAGCCGAAAAGATGGCGAAAAGAGTCTCAATACTGCACACACGAATATACCTAACAACGTTCTAGTTAGGCTGGCTTACTTGAACTTTCATAGCTAACTTCCGGTTCTGCAGTTCATATGCTTTTTGGCGTTCCTCTACAACTTTTAAGCGATCTCGATCTTTTTTTAGTTCCTTCAGGTAATCCACGGTGGCCTTCAGGGTGGAACCCTTGCTCCTAGGGAAATCACTGTCAAAAAGAGAGCCATCGCCTGGCTCGCAAGTTTGGACACCGAATCATGCACGCAGACAAATATCACCACACGATCACTGCACGCATTAATGCACTTACGGGTCACTAGAATGTGGCAACATGGTCCTGAGCTCCTTGATCAAATTGTTAATGTTATCCCTTCGTTTCCGCTCAACTACACAAAATTAGGAATTAATTTTTATTGATATTTGTTCTTCATTTAACCGGTAAGTTCCATCCAACAGCATACTAAAATCGATTCCAAACATCTAACATGCACTGTAGTAATGTAAAGAAGAAACTACTAAATGTAAATCATTACTTACTGATATTGTGGTTGTCTTTCTTCTGGCGGTCTTTGTTAATAGTTTTCATATCATCTTCCGTTAACGGTTCACTTTTGACTGAAGCCGTCAGCAGATTAGCCGGGCACGACGAGGAGACGGTAGGCATTAATTTACCAGTAACAGGATCCAACATGCGCAGATAATCCGTGTTTCCGGTCAACTGGATATCACACACACGGTGAAATAATCAGGTAACAAAAATTTATAAACGCTATTACATCATCCATGATTACGCTTACAAAAATAATACCTTTGTATATCAAATTAGCAAATCAAAGCCCAACGGTCTCATGTTCACATTAGCAGAAACTAAATTACAGATTCAAATGCCGGTTCGGAATGTCAAGTTATCAATAATAATTATGCGCATAAAAATAGCAATAAGCGAAAGTTAGGAAGTATCTTTTCATACAATGCAAACAACATAGATTGCCTACGAATCTGTAAATGATTATCATTTACTACTTCATTCGAAAAAAACTTTTCAAAAACAAGATAAACTTGATGATTGTTAAAGAGAGCAAGCATAAAACCTACATTTTTACACCGGCTGCATAAATACTGCGGTAGATGGAGGTCGTACAGCAGAAACTAAAACCTTCATTAGAACTCTTAAGTAGTGCCTGGTTTACTGATGTTTTTATTCGTAGGATATTCCGGAATCTGGGTTTTTAATTTCTTACATTTGCCGGTAACGGTGATGTTGACTTCATAGCCTTAGCCAGTTGCTCTTTAGGTGTCAGGGAGCGAGTGCTGTTGCGTGACGGTTTGCCACCGGACTTTGCTTCGAGCTCCATGATATCCTCAATAAGTTCGTCCATCTGCAACAGTTTATCAGTTTAATCATGAGGGAGCGATAAAGCTCCGCTCGTGCACCGTCCAACATTTTTCAGATAACGCTGTTCCAGTATACTCAATATCAGTGGATTATTCAAAACGAACATGCAAAGCGACACGCCTACGAAGGTTCCCTTTTCCCGCATTGTTTTCTGCAGAATTAATTGCTACCTGCTGTGAATCTGCAACATTCCCGAAATTCGCCCACAAACACCTATCGTCCGAATTGCGAACCCCCAGCGGCAATATTCGTTTTTTCATTCTTTATGTGTTCGTGTATAAAAAACATCCGGCTACATCCGGTTACACCAATATTAATCAATCATCACTTACGGTTTTGGTATTAGCACCCTTGGCCACCCGCCGGCGGGCAGTGAATCTCCTCGGTCTCTTTCTCAGGACCATTTTTAACAAGCAAGATGATTACGCAATATAAATCCCAATAAATCCCAACCAAAATCAATTTGCTACAATCCTAACAGATGAAGAACTGAAACATGCACAAATGCTGGTGCACAAATGTCTCCGTGCTGCTCCGACAAGTTCAACAAGAGAGAAGCATAACCAACATAATAAACCAAGGCAAGCGTTTCGATACAGTACTTAAGCAGCGCATTAAAATCAAAAGATGGTTGAATATAAAATTATGCACCAACCAAATGACCGAGCACTTTAACAGACACCTTCAACTTCTAGATCGACCCCGTTCTCTTTCACTCTCTATCTATAATTGCCGACCATAAATTGTCGATTAAACAACGACGGAAATATGCAACGTGAAAATCATGACAGGCCACGGAATATAATAGCCGGCTGCCAAGAATTCCCGTACTTCACACTACCGGGGTCTGCAAATGACGGTTCCACGGCAGTGGTGCGTATATACCGCTGAACACACCAGAAACCACTTTCACTCACGACCAGCTGTCTAATAATCGGCCAAACAAAAGTTTCAATACAATAGACCGCGCAACGATTACAATATAAAAACGCTATCAGTACGCCACATTCGTACAGCTCCACAGCCTAAAGCAAATACAATTTCTCCACAGCATGTTGCAAGATCAATGTTTTTCTAACCAAGCAGTTTCTCTGGCGTCTTCTCCCATTTGCAAAAAATTCTGCTACTCTTCAAGAAAACACAGTGAATATTTACGCGGATGAATGTACGCCCTACGACTAGAGAAATGGTTTTATGCTGAAACATAAATCAAAGCGCCGTTGAAAACAGCAGAGTTGGCTGTTTTTATGTTTGGCCGCAAATGTTCCACACACAGTCAAATTCACGGCGCCCAACGTTGCCACACCGGTATTCTTTAGTGGAGATAATTGAATACGTAATGAGAGCTATTACCAGTCGTGGAAAATTCATACACGAAAGGTGTATAAAAGGCCTTTTGCTTTACGTCTAACCAGCGTTGCAAAGTTCCTAAAAAACACCGGCTTTATCTGCGAACCGGAACTAACCTAACTGCTCAATATGCTGCACTTCACCGTGCGTGCGCCGGAACAAAGAGTTACTGCACTAAAGGGAATCGGAATTGTTCTATCCAAAAACAAATACCAGTTTTTTAATTGCGGTAGCAGCTTGCTCCTACAGAAACACAGTTGTTTTATGGTTACTATATTAACGCTCTCACTGAATATACATGCATAGTTCAAAACTTCAATGCTTCCATGCACACATCCAGAATCCACCATTACCAATTATTATTAAACTGGTAACTAACTGTCCACAGCGCTACAAAAGATGATGCCCAGAAAGAAACAAGCAGAAGCTCTTTTATACCGTGGCGGAAGCATCTTCTGAAAGTATACAGCCGCGGATAAAAAATTTTCAATGCAGCCTCAAGTAACTTCGAGGTAACCAAAAACATTTTCAGTCTAAGTTCTGCAAGGCTACGCCACTTAAACATTGATTTTAAGTTTTTAACAATGCCTACGCAAATTTAACCAAATCTCTGCAAGGGTGCTGGTGAACTTGATAAATTATTACCACGTTTGAACTGTGGCTCCGCAGATACCGAAGGAGGCAAAACACCAGGTTCTAAGTCAAAACACGTCATCGAATGTAGCCATTGGTACGGTTCGTGTCAGTAGACAGTCAAGAAATAATGTTATCATTTCCAACCGATAATTTATATCGGACAGGTTGACAATACGAGCAACACATGCCGTGCACACAATACCATTTCACCGGTATCTACACAGTTTAAAATAGGACATCTTCGCAAAACTTTTGCAAATATTTAGCGGTCAAGAACACACACTAAATTGTCACTGCATCTTAAAACGAACTGCACCTTGAAACCACTCTCAGTTCTGAGTTCCCGTTTATAATCAAAACCAGATGAGAATTTGTCACCAGCAAAACTGCACGCGCCGCCCAGCCAATAATGCATCCTCCAAGCTAACGAGTGTTCAGATTGCCATTATTGTTCCAGAATGCAAGCTTTGGCTAATTTAAAATTAGTAATACCACTCAAGGCCATCGGTTATCTGCTATCCTAACCGGAAAACAAAAGGTGTCTTGCTTACCTCAGAAACATCTGTAATAGCCGGCGAATGCGGCGTCCCCACAGACCGTGGCGTCATGGGACTGTCAGGCGTAAGAGGACTGGCGGTATTATTCAACGAATGCTGCCGTAGAGTACCCATGGACAACTGATTGGGCAGTGAATTTCCTAGTGTCAGAGGACTAGCCCGTCCCATAGAATTAGATACATAGGTTTTCAGTTGCTTGGGCTTATCATCGCCGAAGAACCGGTTAGGGTGCTCCAGCCGACTTTGTAGACTCATGCTGTAATGCTGTTGGAATTCCGACGAAGAGGGCACGGTTGAGGACATTGACAAGGAGGGGCTGTTGTTGGGATTCCGCAGGAGGGGCGAACCCCGGTGTTGAGCAGGAGAATAAGGGTGACCACCGACCATACCATCGGAGCTGGATAAACTGCCGGTGGACGAAGAGTATGGCACACCATTTCCCTTCCGGTCATCGTCACGTTGAGCTAAAAATGTTAACAAACAACCAGGTTAAACTAAAGTAAGTACAAAATCGCAGTTATAACAGTTTTTAGTATCTCGGATACCGAGATACGATACAACATTCACTATTCCGCTACACACCTATCAATTGCGAATTAAAAGTGGGGTACGCAAAGTGAGGTACTCACTGAAGTACCGAGAGTCTCACGCGGTGAAAGGTGAAGCCTGTCCGGATAGTAAAAAACAAAGACTACCGCTTTTTTCAAAAAGTATAAAATTTTATTCCAAAAGTTGACCAAAAGAGTCAGTCTATTCACAATTTCACAGCTCAGCTCTACTGCAGTAAACTGTCCTCAGGGATTTAGTACTAATACTGCGCTCGCAGCTGGTGTGCACCATTAGCTGCATTCTTTCAGCTTAAATAACATCTTCGTTTAATTTATCGTTAAAACCGTTAACATAGAAGTATTATTTTTTGAATACAGCAAAAAAGTAGAAGATACTGGCATAAGAAACCATTTATTCGAATGGCTGTTTACAATCAAAGAATTATTCCAGGCTTTATAAATAATGCCACCCGGTGTGACAGCAGGATATGCTTATCCTGTAATCAAAGGAAATCAATGGATACGCGAGAGACATATTTTTGAAATAGAAGGCACACGTTGTGCGTCACTGCCACTTGAGTCGTTCCTAGCGACCGGTATACCGTACAGATGATCATTAGCACATCCTGCACTCAGATTTCAGGGAATTGAGAGAAGGGTTTCCATTCTCATGCAAGGAGATTACGTGAGAGAATCACCAAGGCCGACCAGCGCGTTCTCAGAACGGTTTCACACACTCACACTGGAATCTATCTCCAGGTCCCTGTTTTATTAATCCTATCATTCTCTCTTGCGGCTAGAGATTTGCACACAAGGATTCACATATTACCCAACGCATACAGGAAAAAAGCCCCGCTATGCAGTACTTATTTAAATCTAGCCCCGTGTATCTTAAGACGTGCGTTGTTGAAATCGCTCAGTTCAGTTCCATAATTCCATTTTACAGAGCCAATAGCGCCATTGTACACGCAACTCCCATTTCCCATACGGGATCCGTATTAACCAGCTTATATAATATACAGTTAAATTTAAAATACAAATGAAGCAGAGCGTGGTCGACGCTAAATGACAAACATAATGGCTATATTCTGCAAATTAATAACCCATAATTTTTGAAAGAAATCTCCCTAATCCAGTAATAAACATGCTTGCTACTGTAGGTCAGTTTATGAAAATAAGTACAAAATGCAATATTACTGCATCATGCAGTCAGAGATAACAAGAATTTCAAGAAAAGACTATTTATCTTCCAATAGTTTAATTCAGCGGCGTTTTTCTATGGTGCTGGCAATTATGTTATCATAGTCCTCAAGGGCAACCAAACTTCAATTTTTAACCGTCCACAACCTGAAAAGCAGTCTTCAAAAGGTAATAAAGAGCTACAATCGATAACCCAATTTTACAAAATGCAATCTACTAAATGGTCACTCCCGAAAAATTCAGGAACTAGAGCACAAATTACACACGTTGGCCTTATTTTACAACAGAATGGACAACGATTTGTTGGTAGAACAAAGCCTTTTCCGTCGCTCCTTTACCACTCGAACATTACGTAACTAACATCAAGACATGCCTTGACGTTGTCACTGTAAAATGCAACAAGCACCAATATGGAGGAATTCAAAGATGTTTGTTTGTACGCTTACTGAAAAAAAACCTTCGATACCTTGTCGCAGAACGAAACAAGACTATAAAAAATGTGTTAAAAATTACCAAAAACATTTGAAAACAAGTATTACATCTGCGGCAGTAGACTGGGTGAAACGTTCCACGCTTTTTAAACGCAACTGTGATTTTATGAAAACTTCAAACGATCCAAACATAAAATGATGAAGCCTAAAGGAAAGCGAACTCACACCAGCATCATGCAGTGAAAAATCTCCAGAGTCCCAGATTCAAAACCAATCACCATAAGAATAGTGTTACGATCTTACCTTGCTCTCTCTGGAGCTGAAGTTTGAGGTTAGTCCGTGAAGACATGGTACGGTAACATGAGCAAAATCCACGGAAATGTAAGCAAATAATGGTTGATCAGATGTGACCTGAAAAGACACAACAGTCACCAGTCAGATCTTCATGCTGCCATACTTTGGTTCAAAGACCCCACAACAACCTACATACGGCGATAGTTTGGAATCTATCCGTAAATAAATCCAAAAAGGAACACAGTCAACACACCACAGCAGCAATAAAAACCGTACTAAAAGCGCCTGTTAATTCATTACATGTTTTGTGGAAATGGACTATCGTACCCGAACAAATCAGAATTAACGATCAGCTGTGAGGCTGTGAGCCAAGTTGTGAACAAGGAATGTTTGGCTGCGGTGATGCCTTGCCTGTACTACTTCTGTACATCACTACATCTTCAGTTCAAAACACTGCCATACGAGTAATGGAATCAGATTATAATAATTACTATTATTATAATTATAAGTGCTCCTACAATGCTCTGAATATTTTTATTTTCGTAAATCAAATCATTGCCCAAATTATTAATTTTGATTGCAAATAGTAATTATCAAGGTGCCTTAAGTTCTGTCATATTGTAAATCGTAAATTGTAATGTAATGATCTATCGTTTGGATTTCTCTCTCAAATTATTAGTTTTGATTGCAATAGTAATTATCAAGGTGCCTTAAGTTCTGTCATATTGTAAATCCGTAAATTGTACTGTAATGATCTATCGTTTGGGTTTCTCTCTCAGGGGTTTATGGACCCGAAAGCGACTGTATAAAGGCCGAATTACGCAGTAGAATTGTAAATAGTATTATAGTTTGATTACAATTTTTCAAGGTTATTTACTATTCAATACAATATTGCAAAAAATATTTCATACATGGCAGCCCTGGCTGGCCAAAGGTGTCGCACTCATTGCACAAACATGCGCAGAATTCAGACTTCTCAAAATGATGCCGGTGCTGACGCAACAATCTTGGAGATTGCAGTACTGTGCGTCGTTGAGGACAGTACCAAAGTTTAACACGTTAAACCTTTAATTAACACTTACAATTAAGTCTATCAACTTGCTTAATAGTGTAAATTAATTATTGTAATTATCGTAAAATACAAAAAATTTTATAAAGGAAGATATGTAAAAGTAAGGCCTTTAAGGTCATTGCACATATTGTGTTTTTACTGAAAAAGGAAAAAGTATGCACCAGCCGGATTTCTTTATCACTAACTTTAACCAGGAGTGCTATAGACTTATACAATACAAGCTATGGCGATCCAGAAAATACTAGCACTTAAATACTTCCGGTACTTCAACTATCTATTAATTTTGAAATGGTTCTAACTAGTAAGGTTTACAATGTTCGTGTACAACTTGCTACGTACTGCACTGTAGAAATATTTATTATAAAGCATGCGCAATGCGTACCGTAATCAGCAATGCACGATTACTGTTAACTGTATCAGGGCCGCGCTCTAAAATGTAATACTTACAAATTACAATTCACAAAAGGACTGAATGAACATTCCAGAAGGAATGTTCATCCGGGCCTTTTGCACTTCCAGAGGGCGGTCAAATTTGTACACAGTAAAAAGTGCACATACTGCCTACTGTTCAAAATGTTCAATAAGCGAAGTATGTAGTTACGGAAAAATCGCCTTAAATCGGTACGCGTATTTAGCGTACTCGTGTTGAACAAATAATTTGTTCAACACGAGTACGCTAAATACACGTACAAATACAAATTTTGTATTGAAAAGTAGGTGCACGTTTTCCGCACTCGCAATGTCGAACCATGTATCTAACAAGTACAGTAATCGTAAAATATTTTTAGATATATATGTACTACGTATGTCAGCTTATCACAGCTGTGACGCTGTCGAATCGTGGAACTGTTTTGGTTTTTTACTCGCAAAATCGAACATGCAGTCATGCACTGCTTAACCTCGCATGCTTCCGGCAAAGTTGTTTGCGATCGATATGAGCGCCATCTGCACGCTGCAAACCGTATTTTATTCAAAAAAATCAAACAAATTATTTATCATTATTTTATGGGTTTAGCAAGTACTACTCGTACTTTAAGTTTTGGAAATGAGTACTTACAGGTATAGGAAAAATGATTTTCTGTAACCTACTGTAATTATAATAAACTACAAACACTTTTAGCCGCCCATATGGATGGCTAATACCACTAGTTCTATCGTTTGCAGAATATTAGACAATATATGTAATTAAATAGATATTTAATCTAATTATATTAGACAATATAATATCTATTTAATTATATAATTTATATTAGACAGTATAATTAAATAGATATTAGCGGCAATAGTATTGTATCCAACAGTTAACTCTACAAAAAACTTATCACATAAACTGCGGAAGGATGCCCGTACTGCTACCGGATAGATGTCCGTACTGCTACCGCAATTTATCGTTAAATCAGTCCTGTAATTTGCCGTTTGAAACCGTTTAAAATCCACTACAGTATAATCTATCATCTATGTACGGTATAGGCTCAACAGTACAAAAATACACATTCAGCACATCGCAAAGACGTGCCTGCGATTTTTAAGTAAAATGTCTTCTTAGCTAAATCTGTTCTTAACTAAAATTTCTTTAAGTAATCTGTCCTTAAAAAACTCTTTCTGACTCAGAAATTTATGCGCAAATCCGCAAAATATGAGGTTACAGAAATACAGTAATATCACTAATATGAATCAAAAACGTTAATAATGATATGAATGAAATTGAAATTCGGTGAATGCATGTAAGTTCAAAGCGTAAACCGATGAACGCATTCATGCATATTGCACCGCTATTACGTTATCGGTTATCCTTACATGTTCGGACAGAAGTGCGTCACTGTGAAACAGGACAGCGGCCAAACAGGGACAATCCATTTGGCACTGCACATTGTGCCCGTTGCCAGCTTGCTGTAACGGTACAACCTAATTTACGCGGCTACTGCTAGTCTTTATCTACATCCTGATATGCGGAAAAATTTGTTTTTGCTTCCAACTTGGGAAAACCTCAAAGATTGTTCAAATTGTAATATCCATGTCTCTGATGCAAAGCAAATACCTATACATTTTCTAAGCATTTCAGCAATTAACAAAGTGCAACATGTGCTATACTCGTACCGTATAATAACCTGTGAATACAAATTATCTTTTCCGTGTTTTTCCAAATTAACTTTAAATTATACTACAAAACAAACCATTAATACTGTACGCGTGATGTATTAGTCAGTAATCTTCAATTCTATTCTAACATACGAAGACACGATTGCATAATTTCCGAAAAAATTTTATATTACAAAATACAAAGGCTCTCCTCCAATCGACCGCAAATCTCATGTTCGCTCTTTACTGCGATGGTGTTGCACCATTATTAAACTACCCGTAGCTGGCCAGTGGCCACTGATCGCAGGAACAGGAAGGCAATTATTTTAAGATGCTTTCCTCAAGCAGCGTTTTAAGATTAGGCATTCGTACATGTTAATTGTAAATAATTAAATTACTTCAAGTGCAGGCGAATGTTGCACTTCGTAAGCAGTATATCAAACATGCCGCTTACATTTTCTAATCACTTAATTTATATACTCGTACTGATTGCACGCGAGACATTAATACACCGCATCATGGTCGGCATGTTTACAGTACTTCTGCAGCCTTTACTTACCAGTTCGACTCAGCTTTTAAAGGGATCAATCACATTAAATATTAATTGGGCTGTACAATTCGCAAGTCCAGTTGAATAATAAAACGCCACACACGTAGAACTACCGCTTTTTATCAATCGTCATGACAGAAAGTTACACAATGCATAGCTACATCCTATGCAGATTCACGCCGGGATCGTACAAAATAATACGCAAATTCAGTCCATTATTGATAACGTAATCTCTGACAACTCCCACGCGCATTCATGGACAACCATTCGTAAAAATTGTGAACTGAAGATATTGTATTAATTTCCCAAACAAACTGTCGGTTCATTACACGAAATCTTAACAAGCGAATTACTGTAAGATATACGATTGCCGAGCAAGCGTGATTTCGAAGTCAGTGTGCGATATTTTTACGCTGTGGGTTGCATTGCAAGTACCCAATGTTGTCTTTTGACTCCTGTTGGAATTGGCAACCTTCTCACATTTTGTGTTCCGCTGATTCATTCCATTCCAGTGCCACTGATATCATTAGCACGCTGATTGGACACTCGAGCGGGTGGAATGCGGTTCCGAATAGTGATTGGTCCAGAAGAATGCACACCCCACCCGCTTCCGCTCACCCGTGCACTGTACGCACTGGTATTAAAGTGTAATTCCGAAAAAAATTGTACCGAAGGATTCAAGGAATTGTTGCTCACGATAACTAAGCCAATGCGGCAGGCCTACCAAAGCGTTACCGCTGGTGTGCTTCAGGAACATCGCGCCCGAT